AAAAGCCCGGCCTGAACCAACTCACAAAGCCCTTAAGCCCCAAACCCTCAGAGTGTCTGAGCAACGCCGCGCAACTCTCTCAGTGGAGCTCTGCACACAGGGCTTCGGGGGTTGATAGGCCGTAGGAGTTCAGGGCTTAGGGCTTAGCTGGAACCGCCAAGACCTGCTTTGTCCTGCAGGGTTTGGTAAGTTCTATCTTGGGGTTGACAAAAGTAGGGTTATGGTAATTAATGGAGGGTTAGGGTGTGAGGCCTAGACTCGAGGGTTTAGGGCTTAGGGCTTTGGGTTTGGGGTTTAGTTATTTTTTGGGGCATGGCTGTATGGAGTCGCGGCAGCTGCGGGCTCTCATCTCTCCAGTTGCGAAGTTGTCTGAGAACTCCTTGCCGTAGCTGCGCAATGCGTGCCCCGGCTCAGGCTTTCTTCCCCGGACCCTAAACCCTAAACCCTAAGATGGGGGAGGGCCGTCTTCCCCGGGCATTGATTCGTCAGGAGCTACTTCTGAAACCCTGGAGTAGAGGTCTACAGTACCAGTTGGTATAGGGTTTCAATGATTTCTCTTGCCTGCTTTTGAACATACCTCCTGGCTGCTGTTGAATTAAGACTTGCTCACCAGATTAAGAGAGGAACTGCTACCGCTTGCAGAGCTTCTATCGGGATTCGACAGCCGTTCAAGACACGAGCAGCGTTCCATATTTCGTACAATCGGCCCCGAAACCCCATTCCTGTTAGTTTGGCTCCTCGTGGATCCTAAACTTCAAAATTCTAGGTGGCTGGGCTGGTTTTGCTGGCTGCGCTGGCCTTTGCGGATGGCAGCCGGGCTGGCTCCCCGGAAACACACCAGGGGAGAGTTGGAGTTGTTTTGGTCCTCTTTGCTTCCGCGACATCATCCGACACATCCAGCTGTTGGAGGTTCATGGGTAGCCAAAAGTGGAGTTACAAGTAGGATAACTACGACATGTGAGGGGACTTATAATCCCCACTTGTATCTACACATGAACCTCCATGTGGGGGCTCCGTGTGTCTGGGTAATTCTCTAAATCTCTAATTAAGGGTTCCTTATAGGGTCCTTTTTGTAAGGATGCCATACTATACTGCGGATCTAAAACGGGGACCCTAATTTGGAGAACTGCGCATTTGAACTCGTGACTTCGGAAAACCCCGCTGCGTTTGCCGCGAGCTGAACTATGTGACATAGAAGAAGTTCTCAACAGAATTGAGCTAAAGAAACGGTTCAAGCTCCAGGGCTCTGGGTTGTGCTTTGACCGCAGTGGAAGAAACTTCTTGTGTCTCGAGAGGTCCACAGGACGAAACCCCTTGTGGGTGGACTGCTCACGGTTTGGAACAGGGGGAGGCGCAGTGAAAGAACCGATGACATGCCCCGATTCCTCAAGCCGAAGAGCATTGGCTCGTGGGATCCACAACATTTCGCTACCCCAACCCAAAGCATTGCAAGCCAGAGCCGAAACAAAGACACAAAAGCGATCTTGATGCCTGCTGAAAGTTTTTTGGAGGTTCTTTTTCACGATGGGCTCCTTGCGATTAGATTAGGAATTGGGATGCTTCCGAAGCTTCAGCGCTGCATCGAATCGCATTGGATCCACGATGACATGGCGCTGCTTAGAGCCGTGTGGCCCTGTTTGGACCACGGAACGAGCCTTCTTGGTGCAACTGGACACCGGGGAATGCGTGGCATGGGGAGACTCAAACTGTGGCGGCGAGCTCTCAGCTGAGAACAAGGCCAAGCTCGAGAAAGGCACCAAGTCCGTTTGGAGCACGGAGCAGGCTTTCCTGGCGCAGCTGCACACCGGGGAATGTCTGGCATGGGGTGACCCAAATTATGGCGGCGAGCTCCCAGCTGAGCACAAAGTCGAGCTCGAGAAAGGCATCAAGTCCGTTTGGAGCACGCGCCGAGCTTTCCTGGCGCAGCTGCACACCGGGGAATGTCTGGCATGGGGTGACGAAACTTTTGGGGGCCGTCTGTCAGACGAGCACAAAGCCAAGCTGGCAAAGGGCACCAAGTCCGTCTGGAGCAATGGCTATGCCTTCCTGGCACAACTGGACACCGGGGAATGTCTGGCATGGGGTCCGGCAAGGATAGGCGGCCGTCTCCCAAATAAGCACAAATCCCAGCTGGAGAAAGGCATCGAGTCCGTTTGGAGCACGGGGCAGGCTTTCCTGGCACAGCTGCACAACGGGGAATGTCTGGCATGGAGTGACCCAAATTATGGCGGCGAGCTCTCAGATGAGAACAAAGCCAAGCTCGACAAAGGCATCAAGTCCGTTTGGAGCACGCGCCGGGCTTTCCTGGCGCAGCTGCACACCGGGGAATGTCTGGCATGGGGTGACGAAACTTTTGGGGGCCGTCTGTCAGACGAGCACAAAGCCAAGCTAGCAAAGGGCATCAAGGCTGTCTGGAGCAATGGCTATGCCTTCCTGGCACAACTGGACACCGGGGAATGTCTGGCATGGGGTCATCCAAAGAATGGCGGCGAGCTTTCAGATGAGCACAAAGCCAAGCTGGAGAAGGGCATCCAGTCGGTCTGGAACACGGCAGCTGCCTTCCTGGTGCAACTGAAAACGGGTGAGTGTCTAGCCTGGGGTGTGACAGCTGGATTCGGAGAACACGTTCAGCGAGCCCTGCTGGAGAAGGGCATCAAGGCCGTCTGGAGGACGGCAGGAGCTTTCCTGGCGCAGCTGGGCACTGGGGAGTGCTTGGCATTTGGTTCGGACGACTCTGGTGGCTCTCTCCCGGAGGAGAAGAGGGCTCTGCTGGCGAAGCCCGGGCTCCGAGCTTCGCCGGTGGCCTCCGGCTCTCCGCTGGCGGCGGTGAAGTGCCTCCGCCGGGACTTCGACATGTCGCCGAAGCTGAACGACGCCGAGGCAGAATTGTCTACTTTTGCTGCATAAGCGGCCTCGGGGCTTTCAAGAGGCGGATAGAGGCAGAATTGCTCGTATAAGCAAGGGGATTGGTGCCAGCCAGAGTCAAGACCGCTCGACTAGCCGAGGACTCATAGACTCGCAATAAAGACACGAACACTGTGTCATAATGCTAGTAATACGAATGGTAGATGGATTTACCAGGGGGATGCCTATCGCTGCCTTGTACTCAAGACTCCACCGCCACCCTACACCCTAAACCCGAAGACCCTAAACCCTCACCCAAACCCTAAACGCTCAAGTCTTAGCCTTCGACCCTCCTGAAGGAGGCTTCGGCGCAAGACCCAGCTGACCGACCCTCCTTCGAAACGCTCCACGAGAAGCTCTCGCAGCCGAGCATCCCCAAGCAGTTGCCCAAGGAAGTGCCGAGCTATTGGTCGGGACAAGACTTGGACCAAGGCACCGTCAGCACATTGTTTTTGCGGCTTCCGGGGTTTGGGTTTGAGTTTAAAGTACTTGAACTGCCTGAACAGTTTGTGGGAGAGAGGTTGAAACGGAGAGGGGTTGGCCAGTGCCTTACTTCCGACTCTAGGTGCTTGCGCTTCTTTCCAGGGGCTCAGAACTGCTACGCTGGATTTGTGAGATTTCTCTGGAGTTTGAGCACAGGTAGGGACCAGAACCGGATGCTTCCGGTATCTGGTAAGGACTCCACACCTTGTTGTATGTATCTATATAACTGTAACTCAGAAGACTGACACTCTCTCTCTCTCTCTCTCTCTCTCTCGCTCTCTGCCTAAGCTTCAGCCTTTGACTGGCTGCTGCGAGGGGTCTTAGTTGCATGCATGCAGGCGTATGCATAAATCGTTTCATACGTGCATCCTATGCGATGCATTGCAGGCTGGATCGCTGTCCCAGTGGCTGAAGAGACCTTTCAGAAGCTCTCAGCCCTTTTCGTCGTCACGCAGCCACGGGAGCTGGGGACCGGTCGCGATGCGGCATCCTATTCTCGGGCTTACAGCAACTTGAAGCAGCTTGGTCCGAGCATGAGACACGAATCTGTTAGTTGTGGCCTTCCACCGCTGACCATGGGATTGTGGTTGAGATGGTTTCTGTTGCTGTTGATGCTACTGTGGTGGCTGCTGCTCGTGTCGTGGTGGCAGTGGCGATTGGTGGCGCCAGTGAGGTTGTACGTGGCTCTGACTGCTGATGCTGGTGGTTCTGCTGCTGTTGATGATGACGGAAACGGCAGTGAGGGTGGTGATGATGAGGATGATGATCTCCATGATGATAACAATGGAGAGGATGCGGATGGTGATGATGGTGCGGATTGTGATGACCATCGTGATGGTGATGATGACAAACTGCTGATGATGTTGTTCATGGTGATACGGCTGATATGGTATTTGGCGAATGTCGTGCCGGTAGCGCTGGTGGTTTGTTGTTTTACACGCCGCTAAGGAGGTCCTAGCTGTGCGACAGGATAGATAGGTCAGGCTTTAAGCCCGGTCGCATAGCGACGCATCGAAGGTTGATGCACCATCCTGAGAAGCAGAGTTCAGTGCCCCGCCCCGTGGGGCCCGTTAAGCACTGAAGGTGGACAGCGTTCCAGAACGTAAAGACATCGGATTGTGCATACGAGTACGAAGCATACAGAAAGAAAACATCGCGACATTCATACAGTAGAGAGTGGTACTGACCCGTAGCCAGTCGCACACAAGCTACACTCAACATGCCGCTCACATCCGCTCACAGCTCAATCCTTCACACCACGCTCAGCTCAGCTCAGACCAGTGGGTGCGCTCGGAATGAAGCTAGCGCTGGTGGTGGCGGTGGCGGCGGCGGTGGCGGTGGTGGGTACTGGTGGTGGTTGCGATGATGGTGACGATGCACTGTTCTGGGGCCCGAGGTTGTGGTGTGCGTGGCGCGTTGAGCACCAAAGTCTTTGGGACAAGTATGTCGCGGAGAGGAACGACGTCGCCCGGCACCTGCGCCAGCTGGAACGGAGTTCCATCGAAACTCCCCAGTGGAGGAGCAGATCTGATTTGCAACCTCAACCTGGAGCAAACTTGGATAACGAACTTTCCGCAGCCCCAAGCTCAGCCCACAACTGCATCACACGCGAGGAGCAAGCTGGAGGACGCCACGGTGGGAATGCCAGACGAGCTCTGTGCCCCCATTGGTCAGTCGGCTCAACCTGGTTTTTGCGATGCTCAAGGCGAAGGGTTCAGCGAATGTCCCCTGAGCCCTAAACCCCAAAGCCGCTGATTTGCATAGACGGAGAGAGCCACCAGCTTGATCATTGAGGCCGTCCTAGCAGGTTTTTTCAGGGTTCAAGTGTTACTGGGCGTTTGGCGTTCAGGGTTTAGCGGTTGATCCAACGCAACCGACCTTGTTGGTAGGGTCCCTCTACTTTTTATGGGGACCTCGCCAACAGGTACGTTTCAGAAGATCCAATGCCTCGGACTACGGTAAATCTTTTCTGGCAAACCCTAAAACACTCAACCCCGACCCCTTCGCCCTAAGCCCTAAACTGAAAGCCCTGAATGTGAGCACCTGAGAGACTGTCGCCCAGGCGAGAGATACCTGCTCCACGGCACGAAGCCAGAGGTGCTGCTCGCCAGGGTTGTTTAGTTCGTGGAAAGCAGCCAGGGGTGCTTCTCAGGTTCTGCTTATCCCGAAAATCTAAACCCTATTTAGGTTTTAGGGCTTCAAAGGGTCGAAGCCACAGGTGCTTCTGGACATTCTACATCAGGGCTTCAATGACAAGCTCGCGAGTCTGAGAGGAATGCCCCTTGGTCCAGCAACTAGAATCCGCAAACCCTAACCGCAGTTAACGCTGGAATCCCTGCAAGCCCAGCTCCAAAGTCGGAAGCGACGGAAGCCCTTTGTGTAACGCTTTGGCAGCCCGTCGCAGACGATTCCATTCAATCTCGACGGCCCCGCACCGTTCATTCAAGACGCCGTCATGCGCTTTCCCAGGTTTGGCGCCGGAGCCTACTTTGCCGAAGATCCGGACATTTGACTGATCACGCATTCTGGTTGGCAGGTAGGGGTCCGCTGTCCTGGCGCAGCGGATGTTGTGACCGATTACACAAACAGCGGTTCAGAAGGGGTTTTCGAGTGACAGAAATCAGTTTTCACACCGAGACCCATATTAAGCCATATTGTGGTACAATAACATACCATCATCTAGCTATGTTCTGATATACCATAATACACCATGATAACACCACAACATACCGTAATACACCGTAGTATACCATAATATACCCGGCCTTAAGGATTTAGAGCCCAGGAGAAGATCGACCAATATACGCGGGAAGATCCGGGCCACGAGACCCCTGGCCTGGAGACCTTGCACTCGCGGCTTTACCGCGCAGGTGGCCACCAGCATCCAGGACCATACCGAGGGATTCGGGTTTAGGGTTTAGGGCTTGGGGTTTAGGGTTTAGGGTTGAGGGCTTTAGGGCTTTTAGGGTTTAGGAGTTTAGGGTTTAGGGTTTTGGGGTGTGGTGCGGGGAGCCAGCTTGGTTCACGCTTGAAGCACTCTCTTGCCCCCATCTGCCTCCAACCGCCTTCTCCGCACTTCTGATCTAGATTGATTGCAAAACTGTCGCTTGCACCTTGACGGCCTGACACGTTTCTTCCGACGTAACGCCTCGTAAAACACTGTCAGACATTAGGGAACTCCGTTACAGGACCCTAAATAGCAGGATCCTTGTTATCACGAGCTCTGAATCAGGTACGCTTGCTTTGAAAAGACTCCCACACCCTGAACCTGAAAAGGAATCCCGACACACTATTCTGATTATTGACAAATATGGGCCGTTATACTAAAGCCCTTATCAACTCCTAGAAGCCCGATAGATGGCTTAAACTGTCATGGATGGGACCCCACTCCCATCTTTCAGGGCTCTGTATTGCAAGCTTCAGAGCTTCATACTAAGCCCTAAACCTTTAGGCTTGGCTCGCAGGTCTAAAACCCGTTTAAAGCATCCCTGTAATTCAGTGAGGAACGCCTCTTAAGAAAGTCTTTTGGGAGGAGATCACATCTTCTACTGCTTCGTGGTTCGGGTGACGTGTGGCGCGTGCTTCCTGAGCCGAGGCTTCAAAGATTCGCTGCTGGGCTCGGATCTTAACGTGCTTAATGTTTTAGTTTTCAGTTGCCATGGCATGGTGATGACTAGTAGATTTCATGCTGTAGAAAGGGCATGTAAAACTCTCGTAACACCCTTAGAAACCACGGAAAATCCAAAGCCTTGAATAACACTCTACAAGAAACGTTAGTCAAAAAGCTACAGAACCCCTCAAATCCCTTTTGCAACCAACCCCGAGACCCCAAAGCCTGTTTCCGTTGAAGAAGAGCCCAGGCTCCGCGACCACGACAGCGACTTCCAAGTCTTCGTCAACGAAGACCGCCGGGTGACCCGGCAGAGAGCGGAGCCCAAAAGCCTGGCTGCTTTCCCTCGCCTTCCCTCTCTCGCTATCCCTCTCTCTTGCTTTCCTTTTCTCACTCTCGCTACGTCGCACCCCGTCTCCGTCTCCCTCTCCCTCTCGTGCCCCGCTCTCTCGCTTTCTCTTTGTCTCGCTTTCCTTGTCTTTCGCTTTCCCTTGCTCTAATTGTGGCTTGGGGTTTAGGGCCTTAAGGGTTTTTGGGGTTTAGGGCTTTACTCGACGGTGGGTTCGTAAAGGGTTGTAGGTGGTTTGTAGGGCCGTTAGGGTTCTTAGTGTACAAGGATTTGAGGGTTTTTGATGGGCATTTCTAGGGTTTATACGAAGTGTATGCTCACCGAAAAACAAAACCAATCGGCTTCCGCGGTGTTTTGAAGCTGTCTCGATCCGAAACTGAGGAGCTTTCGGCTGTGCCCGGATCAGACCCTCGAATTCCCTACCACACCTTGGTGGTGCAAACGGGGAAGGAGGCCAAGAAGAGAATCGCATCCTGGCCCAGCAAGGGTTTGAGTTTCGGGTTGTCATGCTACCCTTGCTGCTCTTTCTGCATGCTGCTACTTTTGCCACCACTGCGGCGACGACGACGACGATGTTGCGGCTTCAACTCTACCTGCCACTGCGACTGCGACTGCTAGTATTACCGCTACCTCTGCCATCACCAGCAGCTTTGTCAGCGTTGTCAATAACAATAACTATCCTCAAGGAGCCATTGTCGTCAGCCTGCTTTTGGCGCGTCTTGCCATAGTTTCATTGGTGCTCTCGCGTTTCCTCCAAGGAGCGCTTTCGAGAAGTCATCTCCTTCAGTGCCAACCGCGCCTATCCGGAGTACCTGCTGGCATACCAAAGGGTATAGCCGGCATGTCTGATTTCTTCTAAGGAATATACCTAGAAGTTTCAGGGAGTTAATATTGTGATGTAAGGTATATTCCTTAATCAAGGGGTATTGGGCTCTCTGGGTCCTCCGCAGGGCCTGAAAAAGGACAAAAATCTGCGGTTTCGCGTCTTGGTGCCGGCTTCAGCTCCGTTTCCAGCAATCCAGGATGCATGATGAAAGTCTAAACCCGGAACCGTACAAATTCCCTAAACCTCAAACCCTAGACCCGATTAAACACCGTACCCAAACCTAGAAAACAAAAAACCAATTCAAAAAAGCCTTTCAGCCCTAGATAAACCCTCAGAGTTTTGGAGCGTCGAGAACGCCGAAGGGTCCTGAAGTGTAGCCATGCGTATCTGTCGCTTCCCAGCAGCATTTAGCTCTCATTGCAAGTTTGTCTGGCAACTCCAAGCTTTACCTGCGCAATGCCTGCCGCGGGCTGAGATTCCGGCGTGTCTGGTCCTTCAGAAGCACGTTCTGAAAAGCCCTTCACGGCCGGAAGACAGTTGAAGTGACCACAGTACGAAGGCATGCTTGTTTTCTTTTATTTAAGCGAAACCATGCATTTTCTCCCTTCATTCTTTCTCTTGGTCACCATTCCATTATCATTTGGTTTATAGGGTCTCAAAGGATTTCTCTTGCTTGCTCTTGAAGTAGGCTTTCTGGACATGTCGACCATGCTGCGGTGAGGTTTGCAGGTCTTTTCACTCTTGAAGTCAGGGTTATGGCAGGCCTCCGGGCTCTTCAACTAACACTTGGGTAGTTCTTAAAGCTGAGTCTCCTTTTCGGGTCCGTTTGATAACTAAAGTTGGGTCCCCTTTTCGGGCCCTTTTGCTAATGCTCCGTACTATTTTGGGGAGGGAGAAAGGGCGCTATCTTGGAGAAGTGCCCACTTGCAGATTGAGAAGACTGAAGAGGAAGGGGGAATGCCAATGAACCAAAGCCCTAAAGCTATCATGTCCGAAGCTCCACCTTTCCCCGGCTTGTGCGCCTCCTGCCTCAAATGCGACTTTGGCAAGGACTGCTCCTTAGGGTTCTTTTTTTCGTATAGACCCCACACCCTTTTCCAATTAGTAAGGCTCCTCTTGGACCCGAAAATCCAACCTTCAAGGGGGCTGGGCTGGTTTTGCTGGCCGCGCTGGCCCTTGCGGATAGCAACCGGGCTGGGTTCTCAGCACTGGGCCTCAAGTGCTTCAATCTGCCTTTCTCTGGGGCCGACAGGACGGTAGACTGTAGGATCTGGGATTTCGTTCAATCCGAACTAACTATGGGTTGAGGGCTTAGGGTTTAGGGACATTCTTCAAACCGCTCTAGGAGACCTTTTCCGACCAAGGTGTCTACGCCCGGGAACTTGGCCACGCGCTGAGCAAGGGCTTCACCTTGGAAGCTGAAGCGGGAAAAACCAGCAGCCAGGCTGACTCGTCTTCCATGGCGGAGCAGCGAAAGCTCTTCCGGAGCTTGCTGAAGGCACCTGGGGGGGGGGCTTTCGTAGGTGTCCTCGGGTCAAAATTAGAAAGTGACGAAGGGCCTGAAATCACGAAGTCCTTAACCTCACCATCCGCAAGCCTTCTTGTTAAGGGACTTAAGTTAAGTTACCATAATACGGAAACCGTATTATTCACTATAGATCCCTATTATGGTAACTTAAATTAAGTCCGGTAGCAAGAACTCAGAAGCAGACCGCCCTTGGTGGGCCACCAAGGCGAATGACGTCAGCATCCGCTGGCACTGCTCGAGTCGTGATGAGACCGAAGAGCGCTCATGAGCTTTAGGGCTTAGGGTCCGGTCCGGAGGTTTAGGGTTTAGGGTTAGGGTCTTAGAACCTGCAATCCGGCGGAAAGTCGAAAGCATGTCCTGGTTTCTCAGCAGCCGATTCGGCACGGCTTCCAAGACAGTTCCATGCCCGTGGTACTGGAAGGAGCCAGGCAACCGATTCCTCACAAGGTGTCTACGGGTCAGCTGCCGGGTGAGCTCCGGGGAGGCTTCGCGACACCTGTCCGCTAGACCCACGAAGCTCCGAGAAGCTCAGCCCCGTCAGCCACAACGCGCGCGCTGATTTGCCTTCCCTACTGTGCCAAGCCTGCCTGAGGGCAGCGAAGTCGCAGGGCCGAGATCAGCTGTTTTTGAGGTTGCTCTCGCAGTAGCAGACCAGTGGTGATTTCTTCCGGAAGGGCTGCGAGGGTGCTGTGTTTGGAAGTCCTTGTCCTTGATGACCGCGGCCACCACTACCATCAGCGCGACGAGGCTTCGTCCATCTCCTGGGAACAGGCTGCTAAGGATGGCAACGTGGCGGCCCTCGCAGCGCACCTTCAGGCCCAGCTTTCTTTTGAGGTTGCTCTCGCGGAAACAGGCAAGTGGTGGTTCTGTCGGGAGGGCCGCGAGGGTGCTGAGTGACAGTCCTTCGAGCGGGCGTGCACGTGCCCAGGCCGGGAACGATTTGAATGCCAGAACGCCCTGGCAACGATGGACAGCGGCGCACTTTGCCGCAGCAAAAGGCCGCGTCGCGGCGCTGAAGTTCCTCCACAATGCGCGTCTCTGAGCTGCTCCGCTTCAACGCCTGGGTAGTCCTCTCCGGTGCAGCGCTGCGCAGGCCCGCGTGAACCTCAACGCCAAAACCGTGGAAGGATATACACCGGCCGACATAGCTGCCCAGCACGGCCGTCAAGAGGCTCTGAAGCTTCTCCTCAAGGTCAGGGAGGGAAAATGCCAAAATTGCCAAAGCCTAAAACCATCCTAAAACCCAAACCTTCCATTGCCACCCACTCCCTGCGTGCCAGGCCGGCGCGGCCAGAACTTTGTCGTGACACCCACCGTCGCGGCTCGGTGGATGTAGAAAACGGAGATTACTGCGATAATTACGAATATTACCAGTTTACCTGCTCGTATTGCACGATCATATTGCTGTTGTTAGCGCCATGGCTGTTGTCAGGCTGTTGTCATCATGCCTTATGATCTTTATTATTGTTCTTATTATTATCAGTACCATTATTGTTATTATTGTTATTACCATTGACTGTTCCCCCGAGAGCGCTGCAATGCCACAGAATCTTTTACTACAGGGGATTAAATAATATAACACTCACCATAAGCCTATGTACGGAATACCAAATAGACCTTAAAGGTCCATGCCACATAAGCCTGTACTATTTTGGGGGTCCCTTATTCTAATGAAAGTGTAAAAGGGGCCCTAGAACCCTATTCTAATTATTAAGGCACCATATATCCCTTATAGAGCCCTTTAAAGAACCCCTTTAAAGGAACCCTACAACCCTATCTTAATTATTGAGGCCAAATTAGGAGCACCTTATTTTGGGTTCCTTCTGATAAGGATCCTACTATTCAGGGTACTCTTGTTAGGGTCCCCTATTTTCGGAAACTCCCGTTTCGTAGACTGGCTCTTTGGAAGGGCGATTTGGGTGTAGAGGTATGTACATAGAGACTACAACAGCCCTAAGGGCGAGCCTAGTCACGATTCCTACTGGCTGGCTGTCTGTATGGATGTATGTGCACGTGTGCATATAGATAACTAACTACATAAATAGATAAATAAATAAATAAATATATATATATATATATATATATATATATGTATACACAGACATACATGTATACATGCATGTATGTACATACTTACGTAGGTATGTAGCTTGCGCATTAGGCCAATATTTCGGTTTCCGGAGGTTTGGGTGCCAAGGCTTTGCAAAGGTTGGAGGCGGAACCTTCCAAAATGAGATTACAGAATCTAGATTGGCTCTTGCAAGTTCGAAGTCCAAGGTCAAGATTGGAGGAAAGGCCGTGGGATCCTCTCCCAGCCAGTCGGCTCAGAGCCTTCAGATTGGCTCTGAGCTTCGCTCGTCAGTGCGACGCTTGCGCCCTCCTAGGGTCCAACCCAGGGTTTAGGGTTTTTCCTCAAGCGCCGCGAGGGCCGTAGGATGTTCGATGCCTGCTTGGCATGAGAGCCTCAGACAGAAATCGGAGTCGTGCAGGGATTCCGGATTTCACGGTTTCGAGTTTTACGGCTCTGGGGCGTTTAAGACGCGCGTGCGCGGGTGGCAAGGCTGTTTTGATTTGTCGTGGCTCCGCCATCCAACACGGCTCAGTCTTGCTCTGTTGGCATATCTTAAGACTTCTTCGCCCATCCCGGTCGTGTGTGCCTATGTGTGTGAGAACCCTAGTTAAACCCAAAACCCTGGACCCGAATCCCTCAACCCTAAACGGTGTTCCATTGTCCGAAAAGCCGCCCTCTGCAGAGCATCCGTAGCGGCTGAGGGTTTAAGGTTTAGGGGTTTATTGTTTAGGGTTAAGGGTTCGGGTTCGGCGTTTTGGGGAATGGGAGAAGACCTCGGAAAGGAAAGAAGCCCTGCTACGCAGGATCCTTCTCAAGCCTCAGCTTTCAACTCTCGCTCCAGAATTCCCAGCGGCCCTGTCGCCATGCGTACCCGCTTCCCAACAGCTTTGGGCTCGAATTTCTTTTATTGCAACTTTGTCTGTCAACTCCAACCCCTTACCTGCGCGATGCATGCTGCGGGCTGAGATTCGGTTTGGGGGCATCTTCGCTGGACAATTGAGGGATCCAGGAACAGTTTCTGAAACCCTCGACTGCCGGAGACGGTCGAAATGAAGCATGTCTATGATGCGTGCTTTAGGGCTTTAGGGTTTAGGCTGTCTCGGATTTCTCTCGCCGGCTTTTGGGCATGGTTTCGTGACATTCGGCCATGAGTCGGGTTTGCGTGTGGCTCTGTGAATCCGGAGACCAGGGTTTGACGATAATAACTGAACATATGATATGTAATGCACTACCGTGTAGTATAGTACGTATAACACCCTAAACCCTAATGACCCTAAACCCCTAGACCCCAAACCCGAAACACAAAACGCCTAGACCCGATTTGAGTTAGCCCGTCGTTCGAGCAACGATGGCTTGGTTGCTCCTGGGACCTGCCCCTTCAAGCCTAAGCGCGAAGCTCCTAATCCCTAACTTCTAAGCCACAAACCCTAAGACCCTCAAAGCCCTAAACCCTCAAAGCCCTTAACCCTGTGAGGTGGTAGGGCTGCTCGTGCTGGTGCTGGGCGTCGCGGAGTCTACGAGAGCTCGGTTCTTAGCACGGGGGAGTCTCGGGCTGGCGCAACTATTGGGGTTCGCAGAGTTTAATCTGGGCGCCGATGCTCCGCAGATCAGCAGTGCAGCTAGGGTGATTAAGAGGGGCCCCTGTTACTTTCGGCAACATGATGCAGTTTGGAGCTCAGAGTGTCTGGGCTGTTGACTCGGTGGGATGGGATGTCTTTCGAGCGTTCGAGGATCATCGAAAGGCAAGGTTTCGAGCATGTTCGAGCCAAGCCCACTCTCTCCACTCACGGCGCCAGGTGTACACAGAGGGGAGCTTGGCCAGAGCTCAGGCGGCTGGGGACCAGGCACCTGCGGTGTGGTTTAAGCTTTTGGCAATATCTCGTGGTGCTGCATGGCACACTCTCATTCGCCACTCGCTGGGTCTGTTGAGAGCATCGTTCTGTGATCTACGCGCCGCTGCCAGGAGCGTCTGCTCAAAGTCGCGTGCGTGAATGCCGAACGAATGTTTTTAGGGGTCTGCGGGTCAGCTGCAGCCTGCTCCCCGGAGTTATTCTGTTCGAAAGAGAAGGAAGGAGAGTCGAAGAAACACCCGAAGCATCGGATGCATGCAAAGAACTGTGAACCATGTGCTCCTCTGGAGCTGGAGATATCCCGTGATCAGAACCTGGGGAGCCGCCCACTCTGGCAAGCCTGCCGGAGGGAAAGCTTTCTTTCCTGTCTCCAGCAGGCAAAGTGTCGGCACAGTTTCCAAGGAACACATGCAAAATGCTCGATGCGCTGGTTGTGGGTCCAGGATCATAGCCCGGCTAACTTGCTGCCCTTTCCTCCGCCGCTCGTGGGTTGTTTGCTCATTGCCCTCAATCGTTGTAAAGGTCAGAACCATGTGCTCGTCTGGAGCCGAAAGCACCATGCACCGGCAGGACGAGAAGGCAGAAGTGACTGAGAAACCCATCGCGGAGACGAGCGTGCCGCCTACTACGACCACCACCTCCATCACCACCACGAGGGGGCGGCCTCCGGCCATCTCCTTGGCAGACGCTGCCAGAAATGGCGACGTGGCGGCCCTCAAGAAGCACCTCCAGGCCCGGTTAATTGCTCTCGCAGTAGAAGGCCTGTGGCGATTCTTTCAAGAGGGCCGTGGGGCCGTGCGGAAGGCTTTGATAAATAGTCGAATGAGCTCGGTGCCGAGGCCGGGACCGATGTGAATGCCAAACTGGCCGGCGGATGGACCGCGGCGCACTATGCCGCGACGTACGGCCACGTGGCGGCGCTGAAGTTCCTCCACGAGGCGAGGCGCCTTGTGGAGTTCTTCGGGCGCCGTAGTCAGAACCAGGTCTGAAAGCAAAAGCACCGTTTGGAAATTCCACAAAGTGCAGTGCCGGGGAGAGTGTGAGAGGGCCAAGTATGGGAGCTCCCCTCCCGAGGCTGGTTCCGATTTGAATGCGGCGGACTCTCTGGATGCGGGATGGACCGCGGCGCACTATGCCGCGTTTTACGGCCACCCGGCGGCGCTGAAGTTCCTCCACCAGGCGCCTAGTGGAGTTCTGCGCCGAAGCCGCTGAAGCCGTAGAGTTTTCCCTGTGAGGCGGGCGCCAACCTGAAAGCGACACAAAAAGCGGGTAGCACGCCGGCCTACTTGGCAGCCTGGCAGGGGAAGGCAGAGGCGCTGGAGGCACTCGCCAAGGCCAGGGCTGCAGCTTTGCAGAGTCTTCCTATAAGTTGCAGGGGTTAGGACACGACTCGGAGAGGCTTTTCCGCCAACGTCTTCGAATCCTCTGAAAGTGCAAAAAAGGAGGTTCCCTTGGCGGTTTCCACTCTGAGGCGGGGGCCGACCTGCAGAAGGCGAACCTACAGGGACGGACCCCTGCACACGGTGCAGCTTACGCCGGCCACGTGGACGCCCTGCGGGTCCTCATCCAGGCTGTGCTCTTCTCTCACTCGGTCTTAGGCCGGTGCAGCAGCCCCCCGCTTCGCAGGCCGGTGTCGACCTCAACGTCCAAGACTCTGACGGAAACACGCCGGCCGACGCTGCTGCCAAGCAGGACCATCCAGAGGAGCTGAAGCTTCTCCTCGAGGCCAGCGAGGGAACTAGAGGAAGCCTCAACCCTAAGGGGAATCATTACTTACCTTTGGTTAGTAAGGAATGGAAGAATGGTAGTAATAGTAGTTATAATTGTACCTCATTCCTCCATTCCCTACTAACCAAAGGCAAGATTATGGGGTGTCGGGTTTGGTGCAGAGCTTTCGCTTCAATTCACGGGTGGTGCCGCCGCTCGCCTGCCAGGCCGGGGGCAAACGCAACAAAGCCTGAGGCCGGACGCCAGCCTTGCTGCGATTATTTACTACTACCGATAAACACTACTACTTCTTCTACCACCACTACCACTACCACCACGACCACGACCACGACAACGACCACGACCACGACAACTACTCCCCACCAATAACAAAAATTGAGAAGGAAAAGAAGCATCATTAATAATAGTAGCAGCCGTCGTAGCAGTAGTAGTAGCAGTAGTAGTAGTAGTAGTAGTAGTAGTAGTAGTAGTAGTAGTAGTAGTAGTAGTAGTAGTAGTAGTAGTGGTAGTGGTAGTGGTAGTGGTAGTGGTAGTGGTAGTGGTAGTGGTAGTGGTAGTGGTAGTGGTAGGTAGTGGTAGTGGTAGTGGTAGTGGTAGTAGTAGTAGTGGTAGTAGGTAGTAGTAGTGGTAAGTGGTAGTGGTAGTGGTAGTGGTAGTAGTGGTAGTGGTAGTAGTGCAGTGGTAGTAGTAGTAGTAGTAGTAGTAGTAGTAGTAGTAGTAGTAGTAGTAGTAGTAGTAGTAGTAGTAGTAGTAGTAGTAGTAGTAGTAGTAGTAGTAGTAGTAGTAGTAGTAGTAGTAGTAGTAGTAGTAGTAGTAGTAGTAGTAGTAGTAGTAGTAGTAGTAGTAGTAGTAGTAGTAGTGGTAGTAGTAGTGGTAGTAATAGTAGTAGTGGTAGTAGTAGTGGTAGTAGTAGTAGTAGTAGTAGCAGTAGTAGTAGTAGGAGGAGTAGTAGTAGTAGTAGTAGTAGTAGAAGTAGTAGTAGCAGCAGGAGAAGGAGGAGAAGGTCGCGATGATGACGAGCATGATGATGGTTATCGTTATCCTTGTCATAATGGCAGCAATGCAATGATAAGAGTTACATGCAGAATCTGTCAGCAAACTCTCTCGAAGTCAATCTCTAGCCTCGGCCTGGAAGCCATACTTGTGGGGTTGAGGGCTATATTCATGGAGGCTGTTCCAGGAGGCCATTGTTACAAATTATAGATTTTTGTTCATTCCTCTGAGTATGCCCTACCAGTACTAGTTCCCCACCAACAGTCCGAAACTCGGCGACAAACCTTAGACCCTCAGAGCCCTTTCCAAACAAAGTCGTTTAACCAAACCCGTGCAGCCTATCCTGAACCTTGCCTTTGGTTAGTAGGGAATGGAGGAATGAGGTACAATTATAACTACTACAAACTACCATTCTTCCATTCCTTACTAACCAAAGGTAAGGAACACAGGTAGAGCTTGCAGAAACAACAATGCTGTGAACCCCCCCCCGTAACCCCTAAGTTCCTCAGGCCCTACACCGTTTTAAACCCCACAATTACTACTATGACTATGTTAACTATCATGATGATGACTATTATTAAGACTATTGCTATTCTGATTACTAATATTAAAACTATTATTTTTGTTGTTGCCGTTTTAAGTCCCAAAATTACTACGATGACCATTATTATTGTGATTATGATTATGACTATTCTGACCATGATGATGATTATTATTGACACTGTGATTATTATGATTCCTATTATTCTGGTTCATACCAAAGCGTTAAACCCCAGAAGGGGCCCTAATAATTACCAATGCTATGTTGGGGGTTCCTTATTGTAGTTATCGTGGGCCCCCAAACCCTATTCTAACTATTCAGGCCCTCATATGAAGCTTCCTTCGGAGGCCCTTCAGCCTCGAGCTTTGAAGCTCTGCCCGACGGCTTTCGAATGACTTCAGCACGCCAGGAGTCCCCCCACCCTAGGCCTTCGAGAATCTTTAAGCGCCAGGTTGAGGTGCACAATATCACAGAAACTAGCTTGGCTCTTAGAAGTTAAAGTTCAGGGAGGAAGGGGCAGATCCTCTCCCAGCCAGTCGGCTCCCATCCTTCAGATTAGCTCTTAGCTCTGCTTAGGCTTTAGGGTTTAGAGGTTTCGTTGTATTTGGGTTTAGGGCCTCCAACCAGGCTGCAGCCGGCGTCCGCCGCTTCATGCGCCGCGACCAGAGGGCCGCAGGATGTTCGATGCCTGCATGGCATGGAAGCCTCATGCAGACAGAAATCGGAGTCGTCGTGCAGGGATTCAGGATTTGACGGTTTTCGGGTTTTACCGCTTTGGGGCGTTTAAGATGCGCGGGCGCGGGTGGCAATCCTGCTCTGCCATCCGACACGGCTCAGTCTTGCTCTGATGGCATAACTTACGACTTCTTCGCCCATCCCGGTCCTGTGTCTATGTGTGTGAGAACCCTAAACCCTGTACCCTGAACCCTGAACCCGAATCCCTAAACCCTGAACTGGGCTCCCATGTCCGAAAAGCCGCCCTCTGCAGAGCATCCGTAGCGGCTGAGGGTTTAGGGTTATTTGAGCGTTTAGGGTTGTGGGTTTAGGGCTTTATTGTTTTGGGTTTAGGAGTTCAGGGGTTTAGACGTTTAGGTTTTAGGGTTTTTTTTGTTTAAGGTTCAGGGGTTTATTGCTTAGGGTTTAGGGAATTTAGGGTTTTATTGTTTAGGGTTTCGGGTTCGGGTTCGGCCTTTTGGGGAATGGGAGAAGACCTCGGAAAGCAAAGAAGCCCTGCTACGGAGGATCCTTGTGGAGCCTCAGCTTTCAACTCTTCCTCCAGAGTACCCAGCGGCCCTGCAGCCATGCGTACACGCTTCGCAGCAGCTTTGGGCTCGAATTTCTTTGGGCAACTTTGTCATTGTCTGTCAACTCCAAGCCCTTACCTGCGCGATGCATGCCGCGGGCTGAGATTCGGTTTGGGGGCATCTTCGCTGGACATTGAGTGATCCAGGAGCAGTTTCTGAAACCTTCGACTGCCGGAAACGATCGAAATGAAGCATGTCTATGATTTGTGCTTTAGGGCTTTAGGGTTTAGGTTTTCTAGGATTTCTCCTGCCGCTTTTCGACATGGTTTCTTGACATGCGGCCATCAGTCGGGTTTGCTTGTGGCTCCGTGGCTCTGGAGGCCAGGGTTTGACTCTAGTAACTGACCAATGCACTACAGGGTTTGTAGAGGAATCTGTGCTTGCACTGATCAACTCGCATGTCATAGGGCCAAGCCAACAGCCTTTCTTCAGCATCCTGCTCGGGCCGGCTGCCATTTTGGGTCAGACTCACGACGGGTCTCGGTGACGCGGGGTTGTTGTTCCCGTGGTGACTTTTTCTTGTTGATTGTTTTCTGTTTCTGGTCATGTCGACTCCTCCGCGTGCCTCGCACGACGATTTGCCTGTGCAGATCAGACAGAACCTTGCTGTGCAGCGAATGCAGCAGAACCTCTTTGAGATTGACGAATTTGCTTCCCGTGTGGAATCGCAAGAGGGTGCTGCAGCAGCAGTTGCCCCTATCCCGACCAGGGCAGCACCTGCTGGTTCTGCCGATGACATGGTCATTGAAGATGTGACGGCTCTGCTCGCCCAGGTCACCAAGCAATCTGAAGACGAGGTGAAGAGAGCAGGTGTGGTCGAAACACTGCGAGCCGCCAACACGGTGGGTCTCCTCAAGGGACAGCCCATCCTTCAGCGTTTGTTTCTGGACATGTACGACGAGACCAAGCGCAATCGGCTGATGACTTCCAGCCGCGCCTCCTCTACTATGGGTAAGCCTCCTGTGGTAGCGGACGCGGTTGCCTCAGGTGCCGATCGTCCCTCCCAGGAGGTGTCACCTGAGGCAGTTGATGTCGAGATGGTGGAGTCGGTGGATCTGGCTTCTGGCGACGACTTTTGCATGGTTGAAGTGCCCCCTGGGGAGGGGAGCGCGGTTGCCTCAGGTGCCGATCCTCCCTCGAGGAGGGCCACGCCGCCTTCCATGGAGGTGGTCACGGCGCTGGAGAAGTTGGCCGGGACCCTCCCACGGAGGGTTTTCCGGATGGCTACGCGGCCTCGTTCTTCAGGTTTTGCATCGGGGCCTCGGCTAGGTTCTCCGATACGGTCCATACCAGGCCTGACTCCATGAAGCTCAGGGGACAACGATCGCCCCAGCCGCTCATCGCGCCTCTGCTCTCCTTCTCCCAGCTGTGGTGGGGACCTATGATCGCCTTCAGTAAGAGGCGGAACAGCCTGGCCACGCCTTGAGGACGATTACCTCCTTCCGGTCCCAGACCGCGACCGCCTGGACTTCACGAGGGCCCCCCGAGATAATTCCCGGGGATTGCGGTGGCTCAGGGCCCTTCTCTCTTTGAAGGGGGCCCGAATTTCGGAGGAGGAGGTCAAGATGATGGGTCTTCATGCCGAACCTGGCCTTCCAGATGGGAGTCCCCCGGGAGCAGCGACGCTACTTGGGACGGTGGCAGGGGGACAGCATGGCGGATGTTTACACGAGGGAACACCGCTCTGTGGTCTTGTCCATATGGAAGGAAGTCTTGTCCAAGCCCCAGCCGAAGGCGGAGGATGGGGTCCGTTTTGTTCCGGAAGACCTGGATGCCCCTTATTACAAGTTGGCTGAAGAGCCTTTGATGGAGGCCGACGCTGCGCAGCTCCCCCTGCCCAGAGACTCTAAGGAATATTCCTTAAATCATATTAGGGATCCTCTTATAATTTAAGGTATATTCCTTAATTAAGGGATATTGGAGTCTCTGGGTGCTTTCGTCTGCTAAGGATCCTCCGGAGGAGAAGCGGGCGGATGGCCCCGTCTTTATGGCAACCAACTCCCGGAAGACAGGGTCTCCTCCGGACTGCTTCCTGCTCGATGTTGTGACCAAGGACTCCTCCAACGGGGACCCCTCGGATGGCTCGGGTTCGGCGAGTTCCTTGGAATGGGACTCTTGCTCGTCCCCCCACGAGCAGCCTCCTCCTCCGCCAGCCCCTGGCCTGGTGACCGGGAGTCCTGGCGACCCCTCCTCTCTCCAGCCACAGGTGCCGATCCCCTGGCCAGGGTGTTTCCACGTGGTAAGTCCGGCCCAAGGGAGTTGGCAGGCATTAGCCCTGCGGACTTGGCGTATCTGAGCTATGCCTGCCCCGGGTCCCTCGGAGTTTTGATCTGATCTGCCACTTCCTCGGACCTCGTCGGATTCGGGGAAAAAGTGCGTGTGCCTAACCTAGGGCTTGTGGCTGCACTGTGACTTGTAGAGGAATCTGTGCTTGCACTGATCAACTCGCATGTCATAGGGCCAAGCCAACAGCCTTTTTTCAGCATCCTGCTCGGGCCATTTTGGGTCAGACTCACGACGGGTCTCGGTGACGCGGGGTTGTTGTTCCCGTGGTGACTTTTTCTTGCCCTCCCGCCCTCTTCTGGTTTCTGGTTCAAGCCTGGCATCCTGCCGCCTGGACCGATGGACAGACCTCGTGCCGAAATCGACGCTAAGCAGACCCTGACACGGCCCCCGGAGCTGTGCCCGGACCCCTACAAGGACGAGGTCCGCCTGGTCCTTGCCCGGCATCAAGTCCCGTGGCTAGTCCTCTTTGTCATGGGGAAACAGGGATTTGTCACGGCCCAGGACTGGGCAGGCCGCTGGGATGAAAAGGAACTCCCAAGCTGGGCTTCTCACCAGGCCAGAATGGCTATGCTGAGCACACTTGCGTCCTCACAGCGATCCGCCTGGAGAACGCGGTCGAACAGTTCAAGCTCCTCAAGAAAATGAAGCTTGCCGAGGTGGACATTCACTCGGCTGAGGACTACAAAGCGATGATTGGCAGAGGGGACCGCCAGGAAATGAGGGCAGCCTACCTGTCCAAGTTCGGATCATATGCTCGGGGTCATGAAGAGGGTCTTGTACCGGGGGGAGTTCCTATCGGGCTCCCAGCTGGATCTCAACAAGGTTGTGGCAGACCACCCCAAGGATGGTGAACTGAAGTTCCAGAAGCGTCAAAGCAAGGAGGACGAGGAGTGGATCCATGAGGAATCCAACCGTGTCCAGTCGGAGAAACAGTGGAAACGGGTCCTCATGATCTGGCGGACGTCCCTCCTCATGGTTGTGGCGACCTGCACGGGTCCCTCCTGCATTCACCTGACTAAGGCGACTTCTACAACTTCCTCTTCGGGGACACCATCATGAACCGGGAGCCCGCCCCTTCATTGGGGGTTTTAATGACAGCTGAAAGGAAGGTCTGGCGTCAGGTGGCCCTGAGCATGGCCAAGGATGAGACTCTGACCATCTCGGCTGCCCCCAAGGAAATCCAGAATAACTCGCGGTTGTGGTCGATGGAGATCGACGAGTTCTGCCTTCGTCGCCACCACTCCTTCCAGCCCAAAGGCCCCAAGAAAGGCAAGGGCAAGGGCAAGGACAAGGACAAGGGCAAGGTCTTCCAGCAGTGGGACTACTGGAAAGGGAAAGGCAAGAGGCCTGGAAAAGGCAAGGGCGACTCGTTCAAGTACCAGGGCAAGTCGAAGAAGGAAGATTGGCGTTGGGCCGCGCGCCCGGAGGAGGCGGCCGAGCAACCCCCTCCACCGCCGGCTACATCCTTTCGCGCCAAGGCATCGCACCATGAGTGGGCGCCCAAAGGGTCGGACGGCAAGGAGTTCTGCAAGAAGTACCATGCCTTCAACCGGTGCCCGGCAAATTGCGGTCGCTCCCACAACTGCCCGGTTATCCTCCCTGATGGCAAGATCTGTGAGAAGAACCACAGGGCGGTGGACCGCTCGTGAGAAACCGGCCCCTCCCCTCCGAGGGTTGTGGAGGGGCGAGGGGCCGTCTCTTTCCTCCCACCCAGTGGCGTGGTGGCAAGCTCGGGCCCTCGATTCCCTACGGCCACCGGACGGGTCCGATGTTCCTCGGGATTCTCGGAAATCACTGTTGGAGGTACTACAGGGACGGTTTTTGCGGGGGCTGTCGCCCAGGCGCCCGCCTCGGACAAGAGGGCTTTGGGCGAATCTGCACAGAATGGGGACCGTTGAAATCGAGACCGTTGGTACCATGCTTTACCAACCCTGCCAGGCTTTAGAGGCCTCCCCCAGAGGCTCTTGGATAGGCTTCTTCCAAGGGTTTCTTCCTGGCCGGTTCCGGAAAAATCGTATCAGCCCAAAGTGCTGATTCTCTACGCCGGGAAGGATGACTCTTGGAGCACCAAGGCCGCGATCACACAAGTGGCCCCGTTCCTGGGGGACTTGGTTCGGGAATTGGATGTTTGTAGTGGCATCTCGGCAACCTCATGGCAATTGCTGGAGGGCCTAATTGCAGGACTTGGTCGATTCTTCGACACAAACCTAGAGTTGGCTGTCCTGGCCCAGTCAGAGGCAGAAAGGGTCAAGCAGCCTGGGGCCTCGAGGACCTTCCGGAGATGGAATGACTCACTGGTTTTGCTCAGGATGTTGCTCCTCCACCACCTTGCAATGGCGTCGGCCCCCAGCCTTCCTCCTGGAACAATTGGAGGATCCTGCCAACCAAGGTACCTCGGAGGCTCAGCAGAGTTGTTCTTCGTGGTGGGCAACTGCCCAGTGTAGAGACTTCGCGGGCCTGTCGCGGATGAAGGTACACCGCTTTGACCAGTGTATGCTGGGGCACGGAGCGAGGAAACCCACGGCGGTCCTCAGTAATCTGTCCTTGGACTGGGATGGCCTCAGGTGCACGCATCCGAACCACCCCGTCTGGTGGTCCAGCTCAGATCTGGCCCGTTGGGGGTGGCAAAGCAACCTGGAATTGGCCACGGCCCTGTTGTCTTTCTTTTCCACATCCGGGGACACGGATGGAGACCGCACCGTTGCTTCGGCGTTGGCTCCTTTAGAGGCCACTACCCTGATTGTCAGGTTGGGACACCGTTCTCGCCCATTCAGGGATGGTGGTGGAAAGCCATTCCCTGCGAGACTCAAGCCTGAAGATAGGGGCAAATGTAAGCTGGCCTGGCTGGGCCGGTGGATCGAGGAGACACTCACCTCGGGGACGGTTGCCACAGGTGCCGATTCCCCTATGGTCTCTCCGATGACGTCCTTTCGGTAATCGCTCAGCACCCAGGCGCGGGGCTGCCTCTGGGCAGACCAGTGGGTTGAAGGCCTCCGCCAAGAACTGGCCAAACGCCTTTCTTCCCGGCTCCAACGACCCGTTTCAGCCGAGGTGCCTCCTGGGCAGCCGTTTGCGTTGGACATCCTTCCAGGCTTTGGTGAACTGGCGGAGGACCCGGACCGGGACTTCCTCCATCACCTGCATGAAGGCGTACCTCTCGGAGTTGACAGCCCAACGCTTCCGGACCCGAACATATGGCCATCCAAGCAGTGCAGAGGTCTTCGAGGACACCATCGAGAAAACTTTCATGGAAGAGAAACTCCTCGACATGGTGGCTGGGCCCTTGTCGGAACAGGAGGCCGCGGACCTCTGTGCCTGTGTCGTGGCAGATTTGTGTGTCGGGGCCATGGCGGGCATTCAGGAACTGGACAAGGTCAGGACCATCTTCGACGCCTCGGTCATCGGCGTCAATGACAACATTAGGGCGAACACGGACAAGAAGACCACGGCCCCGACACTCTACGACTTGCTCTTCGCTTGGCTCCATCTGGCGTCGAAGGACCTGACTCTCTTCAAGTCCGATGTGAGCAAGGCTCACCGGAGAATCAAGGTTCTCAAGAATCATTGGAAGTACATGGTGGCCAAGATCAAGAAGAAGTTCTGGGTCAACAAGGTCGGCACCTATGGTGTGGCCTCGGCGCAACTCTATTGGGGCCGGTTGGCAAGCATCCTCACCCGCCTCTCCTACCAGATTTCGGAGGTGTTCCTGTGGATCCTTGTCTTCGTTGACGACTTCATGGCTGTCATGAAGGAGAACCTTGGCGAACTGGGGGCTGCCACCCTCATGCTCTTCCTCACACTTCTGGGCTGTCCTATCTCGTGGCACAAGAATGCCCTTGGGAAGGTTAACCGTTGGTTGGGTTACATGGTTGACATCTCAGAAGGCTCCGTGGCTCGCGGAAGAGAAGATGACCGTCCTCCGCCCGGCCCTGTCGAGATTGGAATCAGGGGAACTACACACCAGGAAGGAAATCACCTCGTTACTGGGCAAGTTGCAGTGGGTGGCTAAAGCCTACCCTCAGGTGAGCTCCCACCTCCAGCCGCTCTATGCATGGGAACAGAAACTGGAACGGAAGTGCAAGCCGGGAGACCTTGTACGTTTCCTGGCAACTCTGCTCATCTCCATCCTGGATGCTGGTCCCTGTGTTCCTCTCCGTCTACAGCGCAACACTCCATGCTATGGGAGTAGTGATGCCGGTGAGGACGATGGCCGGGTGGCAATTGGTGGCTGGTTCTCGCCCTCTCTGAACCCGACTAAGGCGGAGGTCCTGTGGTTCTCCATGGACGTCCTTACTACACCATGGGTGCAGCCCTTCCTGGCGCACACTTCTCCTAAGCGCCGGATTGGGGCCCTTGAACTCCTGGGTACCCTCATTCTTTTCCTTTTGGCTGCGGAGTCCTTGGGACCCAGCATGGTTGATGCGCACCTTCCTCTTACTACAGACAATGAGGGTAATGCCTTTTCTGCCAGCAAGAGATCTTCAAAGAAGTGGCCTTGCTCGGCGCTTTTGATGGAGCTCTCAGCACAGGAGTTCCACAAGGGTGTCTTTGCCCAGGTCACCCATGTTAAGCGGAGCTCAAACACGTGGGCAGATCAGCTCACACACTTTGATTTCGAAGGATTCTCCCCCGAAAAGAGGAGGGAAGTTTCTTTTTCTTGGTCTCCGAGCTGGATGATCCTGGATAAGCTCCTTGCCTTTAAATCGGATCAATAGCTGCTGGGCTCCTCTTCTGGCCCTGATTTTAAACACGATACGAATGCCAGGTACGGTTGCCTCAGGTGCCGATTACCTGTGCTTTGTGACTGTACGTCTCTGCGGGACCTTTTCACTCTCGGGCTCCCGGGTCAGCTGTTTTCTCTCGGATCGGATTGGTTGGTTGTGAAACCCCTCGTTTGATCAAGCCGAGGAGGGGTGGCGTATTTCCGACCGGTCTTCGGACCTGTCTGAGCTATGCCTGCCCCGGGTCCCTCGGAGTTTTGATCTGATCTGCCACTTCTCGGACCTCGTCGGATTCGGGGAAAAAGTGCGTGTGCCTAACCTAGGGCTTGTGGCTGCACTGTGACAGTATAGTACATATAAAACCCTTAATCCTAATCACCCTAAACCCCTAGACCCAAAACCCGAAACCCTAAACCCCTAGACCCGATTTGAGTTGGCCCATTTGTTCGAGCAACGATGCCTTGGTTGCTCCTGGGACCTGCTACTTGCAGGATGCAACCCCTTCAAGCCTGAGCGCTAAGCTCCTAATCCCGAACTTCTACGCCACAAACCCGAAGACCCTCAAAGCCCTAAACCCTGTGAGGTGGTAGGGCTGCTCGTGCTGGCGCTGGGCGTCGCGGAGTCTGCGCGAGCTCGGTTCTTGGCACGGGGGAGTTTCGGGCTGGTTCGTAGAGTGGAATCTGGGCGCCGATGCTCCACAGATCAGCAGTGGAACTAGGGTGATTAAGAGGGATCCATGTTACTTTCGGCAACATGATGCAGTTTGGAGCTCCGAGCGTCTGGGGTGTTGGCTCGGCGGGATGGGATGTCTTTCGAGCGTTCGAGGATAATCGAAAGGCAAGGTTTCGAGCATGTTCGAGCCAAGCCCACTCTCTCCACTCACGGCGCCAGGTGTACACAGAGGGGAGCTTGGCCAGAGCTCAGGCGGCTGGGGACCAGGCACCTGCGGTGTGGTTTAAGCTTTTGGCAATATCTCGTGGTGCTGCATGGCACACTCTCATTCGCCACTCGCTGGGTCTGTTGAGAGCATGGTTCTGTGATCCACGCGCCGCTTCCAGGAGCGTCTGCTCGAGGTCGCGTGCGTGCTTGCCGAACGCATGTCGGCGGACGCACTCCGGGACTTCTTGAAAAGCCTCCAAGGCTGGTCGGCAGGCTTTTTCGCATTATGATTATGGTATAATACTACACCCCAATACCCATTCTAATGATTCAGGCCCCTACATTATTACAGTGTGGTAATTCCTCTGCATGGGAGGCCACCGCTTCCAAGAGGAGCAGTTTCAGGCCAGCGGGAGCGACGCAGAAATGCTTGAGGACTTGCTTCGCTTCTTCCGACAGGCCATGCTACAGAAAGTTCCTGCTGATCGCCGGGCGCCCGGCTTGGATGTTACTGCTGGGTGCCCTTAAGCCCCTGCAACCAGCAATGCAATCTGCAAGAAGCTGCTGTGCGTATGTGTGGTGGATCTAGGCCCTAAGCTGGAAGCCCCAACAGACGCCGTGAATCCTGGGCAGCCCGCACCCCTCCGCAGCAAGAGTCGGACCTTCTGGGGCTTATAACACTACAAAAGCACAGAAGCTGGTTGGTTTGGGGAGCCCTCAGATAAATGCAATACTAATACCTAATACGACAAAAAATAGTATTATTAGCTATAATGTTATATTAATGCAAGACTTAATAATAATACTGTTGAAGGCATTGAGACTTCAGCATCGATGGAGGTGACGGCATGTTGAACTGCAGCTCCGTGGTAAGTCACCTTCGCGATCGAGCGAGCCAAGAGGAGGCCCACACAGGGCGCCGTTTCACGCGGACGGGCGGTTTAGGTTTAGCGCCAAAGAAGGGTTTAGGGGCTTGTGTCAAAGGTTTGGGGGTTCAGAGTTTAGGGTTAGGCGTGTGGAGCTTAGGGTTTCGAGCTTGGCTTCTTTGCATCTAAACCTCAAAACCCCTGTGAGCCCTAAACCCCTATAAAGCCCTCAACCCCTAAACCCCTTTGAACCCTTGTAAGCCTTAAACCCCGATAAAGCCCTAAACTCCGAAAGGGGCCTGGCCAGGCCCAGCGGAAGGAGCGCATCGAGGAGATGGAGACGGCCCTGTCGTCCATGGCTTCGCTGCAGGAGGGCGCAGATCCGGTGCGACGATCTTGTATGACAGAGCAGAGTCTAATATCATAAAGTATAATGTGGCGGTCGGTTTACGGGTAGGGTACCCCCCCCCCCCGACCAAAAAGTTTTGGTCTCTTTAATTTGGAACCGGTAACCCCGGACACTGAGTGGCAGGGAATTGGGAGGTGCCGGGGTTTGGGGGGTTGGCTTGGGTGCAGGGTCTGCGGTTCTGCGCGAATGCGCTGTCGGGGGTCGGGGGGGTCTGGGGATCACCAAATGCTGGAAACCAAGCCCCGATCACTCCAAGACTACTACCAAAACTAAAAGCCCTTCATTTTGAACACTTTTGCCTCCGTAACCTACACTCACACACTCCCACCCACAATCGACCACGTCTGAAGCTTTGTGCGGTACAATAATACTACAGTAGTACAATAGTAGTACAGTAGAAATAAAACAGTGGTAGTACAATAGTAGTACAATAATAGTGCAGTAGTACAATAGTAATACAACAGTAGTACAGAGGTATTACAATAGAAGTACAGTAGTAGTACAATAATAGTAGAGTAGTACAATAGTAGCACAATAGTAGTACAGTAGTAGTACAGTAGTAGTACGATAATAGTACAGTAATACAATAGTAGTACAGTAGTAGTACAGTAGTAGTACAATAATAGTGCAGTAGTACAATAGTAACACAACAGTAGTACAGTGGTAGTACAATAGTAGTACAGTAGTAGTACAATAATAGTAGAGTAGTACAATAGAAGCACAATAGTAGTACAGTAGTAGTACCGTAGTAGTACCATTATAGTACCGTAGTACAATAGTAGTACAGTAGTAGTACACTAGTAGTGCAGTAGTACAATAGTAATACAACAGTAGCACAGTGGTAGTACAATAGTAGTACAGTAGTAATACGATAGTAGTACAGTAGTACAATAGTAGTACAGTAACAGTACAGTGGTAGTACAATAGTAGTACAGTAGCACACTAGTAGTACAGTGGTAGTACAACAGTAGTACAGGAGTACAGTAGTAATACAGTAATAGTACAGAAATAATACCAATAAGCAAAGCATAAAGCCAGTGAGCACATTCCCCCAATAAGCAAAGCATAAAGCCAGCGCCTGAACCCTAAACCCTGAACCCTAAACCCTAAAAAACCTTAAACCCTAACGAACCCTAAACTCCTAAACCCTAACAAACCCTAAACCCTAAGCCCTAAACCCTTCCCAAAGGGGGGTCGGTCCAGATTGGACCCAAAATTGAATTTTTTATACAAACTTTAGTACTGGAGAGGCCTCTTTTGAGCTAGGGTCGAATCCCCGATTCGGCGGTTCACCCTAGCAGCCCCCCCCAATAAGCAAGGCATACAGTAGCAGTACAATAGTACAATAGTAGTACAGTAGTAGTACAGAGTCCCATTCCTGACGCCCCAATAAGCGAAACAATTCTGCAAGAGATTTTAGGTCTTCAGGGCCAGGGTTTTAGGGTTGGGTGGGGGTTTGGGTGGGGGTTTAGGTCGTGGCTGCCTTAAGATTGACCATCAGCAAACAGCACAGCCCCGCCCCCCAAAAATCCCACCAGCCCAAAAAAAACGCATTGATTAAGACCGCCCAAATTTTTGGTACCGGTCGGAATTAGCCCCCGAGCCGACGCATGAAAGGAGCCCATGTTCCTAAACCGACCGGCACATTAGTATAGTATAGCATAGTATAGTATAGTATCGCACTATATTGTAGTATAGTATGGCATAATATAGTATAGTATAGTACACTCTAGTATAGTATCGTGTGACATTGTGTTTTTCGTAGAGGGTTGGACAAAGTAGTATAAAACAGCAGAATGATGGAGTATGGTATCATGTTATGGGCCGTGGTCATCATAGGGGCTGGCCCGTTTTTGTTCAGCTTCCTAGGTTGAGAGGGCATCTCATCTTGCCCCTGCGGTAGATATGGGTGCTTTCGTTGCATGTGATTTGTTCGTGGTGCTTTAGCTCTGGGGCTGGAAGGGTGATGTTTCGAAGGTCACACCCTAAACCCTAAACCCTACTAAACCCCTAAACCCTAGATTCAAAGGAAGCCAAAGGCATGAGTGGAGGTTTGGTGCTTTGGACGGCTTCCCGGCAGGCGCAGCAGGAGGCGCAGCTCGCCAAAGCGAAGCAGCTCTTCCGGACCCTGCTCCAGGCGCCATGGAGCGGTTCTACAAGCTTTACTTGGAGGTTCATGGGTAGTTATAAGTGGAGTTATCAGTAGGGTAACTATAAGTAGAACCCATATTAGGGGACTTAGAACGCCAGTTATAACTACCCATGAACCTCCAAGTGGTTCCCCAAGTCTCAGTTCACTTACCGGTTTGGGGTCGGCAGGATGTGCTCCGGCCAGTAACCTCTGAACTTGACATGAGCAAACAGGTCGCCCGAGCACCGATTCATTCCGACGTTTCTAGGGGTCTGTGGGTCAGCTGTAGCCTGCTCACCGGAGTTACTCTGCTCTGAAGAGAAGGAAGGAGAGTCGAAGAAACACCCAAAGCATCGGACCGATGCGCTGGTTGTGGGTCCAGGATCATGGCCCGGCCAACTCGGTGGAGCTGTGGTTCCCCACAAGAGAAAAGTTGCACCGGGCGCCAGGCACCGACATCAACCCAAGCTGCCCTTTCCTCCGCCGCTCGTAGGTTGTTTGAACCATGTGCTCGTGTGGAGCCGAAAGCACCATGCGCCGGCAGGACGACGAGGCAGAATTGACTGAGAAACCCATCGCGGAGACGAGCGTGCCGCCTACTACGACCACCACCTCCATCACCACCACGAGGGGGCGGCCTCCAGCCATTTCTTTGAAGGAGGCTGCCATCAACGGCGACATTCTGGCCCTCATGCAGCACCTCCAGGCCCGGTGGGCCGTAGGGCCGTGCGGAAGGCTTTGATAAGTTTCATAACGCGCAGTAGGCGAGGCGACAGTCGAATGAGCGGAGCTCGGTGCCGAGGCCGGGACCGACTTGAATCTGGCCTGCAGCTTCGGCGGATGGACTGCAGCGCACTTTGCCGTGGCTCGTCGCGGCCACGTGGCGGCGCTGAAGTTCCTCCACGAGGCGGGGAGCCTTTTGGAGTTCCCGAAAGCCGCTGAAGCCGTAGACTTTTCCCTGTGAGGCGGGTGTCAACCTCAACGCGACTGACGACATTGGTAGCACGCCGGCCTACGTTGCAGCCCGGGAGGGGAGCGAGGATGCGCTGGAGTTCTTGGCCAAGGCCAGGGCTGCAGCTTTGCAGAGCCTTCCTATAAGTTGCCGGGGTTAGGACCCATCCTCTTCAAATCCTCTGAAAGTGCCAAAAGGAGGTTCCCTTGGCGGTTTCCACTCTGAGGCGGGGGCCGACCTGCAGAAGGCGAACCAAAGAGCACGGACCCCTGCGCACGCTGCCGCTTGGAGCGGCCAAGTGTATGCCCTGCGGTTCCTCATCCAGGCCGCGATGCGCTTCTCCCGGTCGCGCGAGTCTCCCACTCGGTCTTAGGCCGGTGCAGCAGCCCCCGCTTCGCAGGCCGGTGTCGACCTGAATGCCGAAGACTCTAACGGAAACACTCCGGCCGACGATGCTGCCGAGCGGAACTATCCAGAGGCGCTGAAGCTTCTCCTCGAGGTCAGCGAGGGAACTAGAGGAAGCCTCAACCCTACGGGGAATCATTTTGTGGGGCCCCCTTGTGGGGTGTCGGGTTTGGCGCAGAGCTTTCACTTCAATTCACGCGTGGTTCCGCTCGCCTGCCAGGCCGGGGGCAAACGCAACAAAGCCTGAGGCCGGACGCCAGTCTTGCTACGATTTTTTACTACTAGCGATATACTATCATTGCAGATTAGATGATGATGACTATTGCCAGTATAATTTGTAGTGTTTGAAACTATTGCTGTTACCATTATTGTTGTTATGACTACGACTACGACTACTACTACTACTACCACTACTACCTCTGCTGCTGCTGCTGCTGCTACTACTACTACTACTACTACTACTACTACTACTACTAGTACTACTACTACTACTACTACTACTACTACTACTACTACTCCTGTTGCTGCTGCTACTACTACGACGACTACTACTACTACTACTACTACTACTACTACTAGTACTACTACTACTCCTGTTGCTGCTGCTACTACTACGACGACGACTACTACTACTACTACTACTACTACTACTACTACTACTACTACTACTACTACTACTACTACTACTACTACTACTACTACTACTACTACTACTACTACTACTTACTACTACTACTACTACTACTACTACTACTACTACTACTACTACTACTACTACTACTACTACTACCTGCTGCTGCTGCTACTACTACTACTACTACCACTACTACTACTACTACTACTGCTACTACTACTGCTACTGCTACTGCTACTACTACTGCTACTGCTACTGCTACTACTACTTCTACTACTACTCCTACTACTACTACTACTGCTACTACTACTGCTACGACTACTGCTACTAGCATTGATGATGTTGTTTTTCCTTCTGCTGTTACTGTCATTTGTGTTATTGGTAGTGGTAGTGGTCGTGGTGGTGGTGGTGGTCGTGGTGGTCGTGGTGGTGGTAGTGGTGGTTGTGGTAGTGGTGGTAGAAGTAGTAGTAGTAGTAGCAGTAGTAGTAGTAGCTTGTAGTAGTAGTAGTAGTAGTAGTAGCTTGTAGTAGCTTGTAGTAGCTTGTAGTAGCTTGTAGTAGTAGTAGTAGTAGTAGTAGGAGTAGTAGTTGTAGTAGTAGTAGTGGTGGTAGTAGTAGTGGTAGTAGTAGTAGTAGCAGGAGAGGATGAGCATGACAATGGTTATCGTTAACCTTGCCATACTGGCAGCAATGATAAAAGTTACACGCAGAATCTGTCGGCAAACTCTCTCGAAGTCAATCTCTAGCCTCGGCCTGAAAGCCATACTTGTAGAGTTGAGGGCTTAATTTCATAGAGGCTGTTCTAGGAGGCCCTTGTTACAAATTATAGCTTTTATGTGTTCATTCCTCTGAATATGCTCTACCAGTACTAGACAGGAAGCTATTTCCCCACCAACAGTCCGAAACTCGGAGCCCCAAACCTTAGACCCTCAGAGCCCTTTCCAAAGTCGTTTAACCAAACCCGTGCAGCCTGGCCTGAACACAGGTAGAGCTTGCAGCCACAACAATCCCGAAACCCCGTTAAACCCCCCTAACCCCTAAACTTCTCAGCCCCTACACCGTTTTAAATCCCAAAATTACTACTATGACTATTCTTTAGTAGCATGATGATGATTATTATTGAGACTTATGGTTACGAATATTAAACGCTATTATTGTTGTTGTTACCCTTTTCCTTCCCAAATTACTACCATGACTTTATTGATCTGCCATTTTTATGATTACTATTATTTTGGTTCATACCAAAGCATTGAACCCCAGAAGGGGCCTTAAAAATTACCAATACTATGTTGTGGGTTCCATTATTTATAATGGCCCCCAAACCCTATTCTAATGATTGAGGCCCTCATATGAAGCTTTCTTCGGAGGCCCTTCAGCCTCGAGCTTTGAAGCTTTGCCCGACGGCTTTCGAAAGACTTCAGCACGCCAGGAGTCCCCCCACCCTAGGCCTTCGAGAATCTTTAAGCGCCAGGTTGAGGTGCACAAGAACACAGAAAGTAGCTTGGCTCTTAGAAGTCAAAGTCCCAGCCAGTCGGTACCCAGAGACTCCAATATCCCTTGAATAAGGAATATAGCTTAAATCATATAAGGGATCCTACCTGAGGTTTTCGAATACTCATATAACAACTCGAGAACGACCCCTATAAGATAAGACGCCGTGGCACCCATACTGGAGACCCCCGTATAGAACTCTTTTGGAAACCTCGATAAAGCACTAGCAGAACCCCGTAAAGCCCTATAGAACCCTGAAAGCCCTAAATTAGCAGTTTCTAGGGACCTAAACAAAACTGAACGGTACCTTCAAAAGAATCCTTGTAAGATCCTCAAAGAAGCTTGTATACTGCCCCTATTTCGGGCATGCATCGTAGTCCCCTGGGAACGCCGTCTTCGTTCGCGGGTGCAGGCGACGCGCAAAGGCCTCTTGACCTGCTGGGAGACACCTGGCCTTTTCAGGGTTTGGAGGGTTTAAGGGTTCAGGGAACCCTAAACCCCTAAACCCTAAGCCCTAAAAGGGCGTTTGTGCTGTGGGTTTTAGTCTTGCCTGTTTGCTTTTATGGGTTGCCTGTGTTGTTTTGTTTCAACGGTTTGGGCCGCTGAAGTCTTCTGGGTTTATTTATTTATCAGCAAATTTTGGATGGAGGTCTTCGCGGGCTGTAGAATGTTCGTTATATGTCATTTGTCCGGCTTATATTGCGTTTGGATAAGAGGTATGATCCACTGTTCAGAATCAGAATCGGGGGTTGAGGATTTGTTTAGGATGCAACCCTGTGGGCTTAGCGCTCAAGACTCAGATGTAAAGGCGGTTGAGCCACAGCAGCAAATTTTGGGCTTAGGTATTTTAGTGTGGAATTGTGATAAGCAGAACCCTCTCTTGCTCTGAATTATGTTGGGATCCCTGGTACAATCTTTACTGAACCAGAGGGTTTATTGAGGGGTCTACATTATGTGAGTGCATGCGCTTCGAGTTGACGAGATTTGGGCTCAAGGTCTCCCGGCTTTCGGATTGAAGTTCATAGGTCCGGGTTGCCGGACAATATAGGGGCCTGAATTTAACTACCTATACTATTTTGGGGGGCTCCTTGTTGCAAGTATATAGTAGCATGGGACCCGAAACCCTACTCTAACAACTAGGGCCCCTGTAGCATATGTGGAGGTATTTAGGAGTGTGGGGATTGAGATTTGTCGGGTCATTGCGGTTTGGGCTTGCACTTAGCTCATGTGTGTGATGATTAACCTTACAGTCCACAGCCTCGAGCAGCATCTAGAATCGCGTAGGGCCGTGGAGTCCTAAACATCTAAAGCCCTTCGCTGCAAGACCCCAAAGCCACAAACCCAACCCTAAACTCCAAAACACCCACACCTACTTGGAGGTTCATGGGTCGTTATAAGTAGGTTATAAGTCCCCGAATATGGGATTCACAACCCCACTTATAACTACCCATGAACCTCCAAGTAGTAGAAGCCTAAATCCGAAACGCCCAGACCTATCCCTAAACCCTAAAGCCCGAAAGCCCGAAAAGTAGAAGCCTAAACCTACAATTGGCAGCCAGGGTCTTAAAGCAAGGATGTCTCCAGCAATCTGATCGGGGTTTAGGGTTAAGGGTTTCAGGGTTTCAGGGTTTTAGGGGTTTAGGGGTTTAGAGGGTAGGGTCTGGGTTTGGGGTTTAGGGTTTATGATTCAGGGTGTAGGGTTTAGGGTTCAGGCCCAGTTCAGGCCCCCCATGCAAGCCTCATCCCAAGCGGTAGGTGTTGGGTTCCAAATACTTGGCTCTGAACGGTTTCGCAGCGAAATCAGACTGAACCGGTTCGTTTCACGAAGGGTTGACATCAGGGTTTGGGTTTAGGGAAAGAAGGTTAAAATTCGTGTAGAACTTACTATAACAAAAAACGTATATATATGTATATGTATACATATATATATATATACACACACATATATATTCATACATACATATACGACGGTTGGTCTTTCTGGAGTTAGGGGCTTGGAGTCTGGAACGTGGGGCCTAGCAACGGAGTGAGGACAGGCGCTAAGAGGCTGCGATTGCACTCCAATATCCCTTATTTAAGGAATCAGAGCTAGGGGAGGGTTTACGGGTTTAGGAGTTTCGGGCTTTTTTGGGTTCAGGGCCTCCAGCCAGGCTGCAGCCGGCGTCCGCCGCTTCAAGCGCTGCGACCATAGGGCCGTAGGATGTTCGATGCTTGCTTGGCATGGAAGCCTCAGACAGAAATCGGATTCACGCAGGGAGACAGGATTTCATGGTTTTGGGGTTTTGCTATTTTGGGGCGTTTAAGATGCGCGGGCGCGGGTGGCAATCCTGCTCTGCCATCCGACACGGCTCAGTCTTGCTCTGGTGGCATACATAACTTAAGAATTCTTCACCCATCCCGCTCGTGTGTCTATGTGTGTGAGAACCCTACTCCCTAAATCCTGGACCCGAATCCCTAAACCCTAAACTGTGCTCCCGTGTCCGAAAAGCCGCAAAGCATCCATAGCGGCTTGGGGTTTAGGGTTTTAGGGTTTTAGGGTTTTAGGGGTTTTAGGGGTTTAGGGGTTTAGGGGTTTCGGGTTTAGGGTTTACAGGTTTCGGGTTTCGGGTTCGGCCTTTGGGGAATGGGAGAAGACCTCGGAAAGCAAAGAAGCCCAGCCGCGGAGGATCCTTACCCAGCGGCCCTGTAGCCATGCGTACCCGCTTCCCAACAGCTTTGGGCTCCAATTTCTTTTATTGCAACTTTGTCTGTCAACTCCAAGCCCTGCCCTGCGCGATGCATGCCGCGGGCTGAGATTCGGTTTGGGGGCATCCTCGCTGGACATTGAGGGATCCAGGAGCAGTTTCTGAAGCCCTCGACTGCCGGACACGATCGTAATGAAGCATTTCTATGACATGTGCTTTAGGGCTTTAGGGTTTAGGTTTTATCGGATTTCTCTCGCCGGCTTTTCGACATGGTTTCTTGACATTCGGCCATCAGTCGGGTTTGCATGTGGCTCTGTGGCTCCGGAGACCAGGGTTTGATTATAATACCTGGTCATGTTATATGTAATGCACTTCCGTGTAGTATAGTACGTATAAAACCCTAAACCCTAAGTACCCTAAACCCCTAGACCCCAAACCCGAAACCCAACACTTCGAGACCCGATTTGAGTTAGCCCATCGGTTCCAGCAACGATGGCTTGGTTGCTCCTGGGACCTGCCCCTTCAAGCCCTGCCCCTTCAAGCCTAAGCGCTACGCTCCTAATCCCTAACTTCTAAGCCCTATAAGCCCTAAACCCTGCAAGGTGGTAGGGCTGCTCGTGCTGGCGCTGGGCGTCGCGGAGTCTGCGCGAGCTCGGTTCTCGGCACGGGGGAGTCTCGGGCTGGTTCGTAGAGTCGAATCCGGGCACCGATGCTCCACAGATCAGCAGGGGAACTAGGGTGACTAAGAGGGCCCTTGTTACTTTCGGCAACATTATGCAGTTTGGAGCTCAGAGCGTCTGGGGTGTTGGTTCGGCGGGATGGGATGTCTTTCGAGCGTTCGAGGATCATCGAAAGGCAAGGTTTCGAGCATGTTCGAGCCAAGCCCCCCACTCTCTCCACTCACGGCGCCAGGTGTACACAGAGGGGAGCTTGGCCACAGCTCAGGCGGCTGGGGACCAGGCACCTGCGGTGTGGTTTAAGCTTTTGGCAATATCTCGTGGTGCTGCATGTCACACTCTCATTCGCCACTCGCTGGGTCTGTTGAGAGCATGGTTCTGTGATCTACGCCAATCTACGCGCTGCTGCCAGGAGCGTCTGCTCGAGGTCGCGTGCGTGATTGCTGAACTCACCGGAGTTATTCTGTTCAAAAGAGAAGGAAGGAGAGTCGAAGAAACACCCGAAGCATCGGATGCATGCAAAGAACTGTGAACCATGTGCTCCTCTGGAGCTGGAGATATCCCGTGATCACCCTTGGGAACCTGGGCGGAGCCGCCCACTCTGGCAAGCCTGCCGCAGGGAAAGCTTTTTGTCCTGCCTCCAGCATGCAAAGTGTCCGCACAGTTTCCAAGCACCGAACACGGGCAAAATGCTCGATGCGCTGGTTGTGGGTCCAGGATCATAGCCCGGCTAACTTGCTGCCCTTTCCTCCGCCGCTCGTGGTTGTTTGCTCATTGCCCTCAGGCTTTGTAAAGGTCAGAACCATGTGCTCGCCTGGAGCCGAAAGCACCATGCACCGGCAGGACGAGAAGGCAGAAGTGACTGAGAAACCCATCGCGGAGACGAGCGTGCCGCCTACTACGACCACCACCTCCATCACCACCACGAGGGGGCGGCCTCCGGCCATCTCCTTGCGAGAAGCTGCCTATGAAGGCGACGTGGCGGCCCTCACGCAGCACCTCCAGGCCCAGTTGCTCTCGCAGTAGCGGGCAAGTGGCGATTCTTTCAGGAGGGCTGTGCGGCCGTGCTGTGTTTGGAAGTCCTTGACAAATTTCACAATAGGAGTTGGAAAGCTCCTGCTCCGCGCCGAGGCTGGGTCCGATTTGAATGCGGCGGACTCTGACGGATGGACCGCAGCGCACGTGGCCGCGTATCACGGCCGCGTCGAGGTGCTGAAGTTCCTCCACCAGGCGCCTTTTGAAGTCTAAGGCGCCGTCGAAGCCGCTGAAGCCGTAGACTGTTCCCCCGGTGAGGCAGGCGCCAACCTGAACGTGATGACCAACTATGGTGCCACGCCGGCCTTTATGGCAGCCAATGAGTGGAAAGCAGAAGCGCTGGAGGCACTCGCCAAGGCCAGGGCTGCGGCTTTGCAGAGTCTTCCTGTAAGTTGCAGGGGTTAGGACACGACTCACTCGCCGGGACAAGGGCGGGAGAGGCTTTTCCCCAACGTCTTCAAATCCTCTAGCTGAAAGTACAAACAGGAGGTTCCCTTGGCGGTTTCCACTCTGAGGCGGGGGCCGACCTGCAGAAGGCGAACCGAGATGGACGGACCCCGACGCACGCTGCCGCTTGGAACGGCCGCGTGGACGCCCTGCGGGTCCTCATCCAGGCTGTGCTCTTCTCTCACTCGGTCTCGGTGCAGCAGCCCCCGCTCCGCAGGCCGGTGTCGACCTCAACGTCCAAGACAATCACGGAAACACGCCGGCCGACGATGCTGCCAAGCAGGACCATCCAGAGGCACTGAAGCTTCTCCTCGAGGTCAGCGAGGGAACTACAGGAAGCCTCAACCCTAAGTGCAGAGCTTTCCCTTCAGTTCACGGGTGGTGCCGCCGCTCGCCTGCCAGGCCGGGGGCAAACGCAACAAAGCCTGAGGCCACCGTGGCGGCTCGCTACGTGCACGTGACCATTTGTCTTTGCTACGACGTTTATTTTCTACTATCATATACTCTCATTATGTATTCTATGATGATGATCATGGTTCTCAGTATTGTTTTGTATTGCTTGAATTCATTGCTGATACTAGTACTAGTACTACTACTATTATTATTAATGATGTTGTTTTCCTTTTGCGATAACTGTCATCTGTATTAGTAGTAGTCGTCGTCATCTTCATGGTGGTGGTGGTGGTGGTGGTGGTGGTGGTGGTGGTGCTAATGCTAAAGGTAGTGGTAAAGGTAGTGGCAATGGTAGTGGTAGTGGTAGTGGCAGTGGTAGCGATAGTAGTAGTGGTGGTAGTAGTAGTAGGAGGAGGAGGAGGAGGAGGACGTTACGATGATGAGCATGGTCATGGTCATCGGTATCGTCGAAAATACTAACCATAATAATCACAGTAATACTGTTATAACCAATAAAGATTTTAGCATTATTCTTATTCTCACAGGGTTTGGGTCGTGGCAAGCTTAGGTTCGCGCTTTCGGCACCTGGCCTGAGGCGTGCTCTGGAAAACAGGACCTTCAGGGATTCGGTGTTGCTCAAAAGCCGGACACTATTGGAGGGTCAAGGGTTATAGGATTAAGGTAATCCCAAGTAACCTACCGTTTTAAGGACTGTTATAAAGAAATCATATTAGGGAACCCTAAAGGTAGGTTCCTTAGGGTCCAGGTAGGTATCAGATGATCGCTACACACCCCAAAAACCTTAAAGCTGACCGCCCCAAAGCCCGAAAGCCGTAGACCGCAAAGCCCAAAAAGCTTGAGCCCGGAACAAAAGGCAGCACAGCCAAAGCCAAGCCCTCAATCCCTTCGCAATGAAATACTACTACTGCTACTACTGCTATTATACACTGCTACTACTGCTACGCTGCTACTAGTGCTGCTGCTACTACTGCTACTGCTACTACTGCTACTGCTGCTGCTACTGCTGCTAGCAATAGTATCACAACAACTACTACTACTGCTGCTGCTGCTGCTGCTGCTACTACTACTACTACTACTACTACTACTACTAACTACTACTACTACTACTACTACTACTACTACTACTACTACTACTACTACTACTACTACTACTACTACTACTACTACTACTACTACTACTACTACTACTACTACTACTACTACTAAGACTACTACTACTACTACTACTACTACTACTACTACTACTACTACTACTCTACTACTGCTACTACTGCTACTAGTACTAATACTAGCCTACTACCTACTACTACTACTACTACTACTACTACTACTACTACTACTACTACTACTACTACTACTACTACTACTACTTGCCACCCCCCCTCTACCAACCTCCTGGCGCCACAACCCGTCATCCGTCATGATCATCATCAGCGTCATCATCACAAAAAAATATAATGTCAATTGCAGAAGATGCATTGGCTCAGGCTCCCTATCCGTGACAGCTGCAGAAGTTGCCGAGGCTCACTTGCCTTAATTGTCACAGTCGGAAGTTGCAGAGGTTCAGGCCCCAAAACTGCGACAGCAGCTGGAGATGCAAACTCGCAGGTGGTCGGATAGTACGAAAGTACCGTGCAAAACGCAGGAGCTGCCAAGACCCTTGAAACACTCCTGAAACGTGAATCGCAACATCTTCTTAACATCAAAAGCAAAGAAAGATGCCAGAAGTACGCGGGAGTGGTTCGCCAACACCCCTAAATCCCAGACCTGGGCGTAGGAGGGTTTGCTTTTGAAGTGGTGTGTGGTGCGCGCGCTAGGGTCCGCGAAGGAGTGTCGTGATCATCCCCTAAAAAGCTTCCCCCCAACCAACTTCGAGTTTTTGCCGAAAGCCTCCGATGTCCCAAAGTAAGGGTCGCAAAGTCAAGACGTAGGTTTGGTGACTTGACTATATAGAATATGTCCGTGGAGATATTGCTCGGGGTGTTTGAGCGATGTCGTCATCATCCCCCCTCGCCCCCGCCCCACCTGAAAAGCAAGTCCAAAATCTGAAGCTCGAGTTAGCAAACTCGACAAGTCGATTTTGAGGCTTCATAAGATGTTCCTACATAACGAAACTATAGTGTAAATACCGAGTAAAAAGGATATGTTCGGGAAGAGTATTTAGGAGGGTTGGTTGGTTGGGGGCGCCGACTACTACTAATGGCTACGAATGATACTAGCAATTGTATGCGTGCTAGCTAAGAACAACAATAATTGATATGTTATTTGCTTATCATCGTGATGATTTTTGTTGTTACTAGTATTGACCCTGTTCGTGACTCTTGCTATTTCTAGCCTTTTCATCTTCAATCCCTGCGCCGCACGTAAGTCCCGAAGCATTCGGTGCCACAATAAAGCAGGCGTTGGAGAAGCCCCTGAACCTTTTGGGGTGTATGATTGTCGTGCAGACCCCGAATTTATCAAGCCCGATCCTCTAACTAGGACTATTTTGGAACTCTCAACAGTAAACTTTGCAGAGTGTGGTCCACCGCGCACCCTGAATTAACAACCCACTTTGACTGGTCCCACATACCCCTAAACTTTCAATCCTCGTAAAACCTCAACGTCCTCGGAGACCGGAAGCCCCATATTTTGAAGTTCCATATCATAGTGCAATCCTCATAATGAAAGCTCGTCCAACCCAATGTGCACAAGCCACAAACCCAAAGCCTTTTCAAAACTATGGCAACAAGCCCACATCGGGCCTACAACCCTAGACCCTAAACCCATCAAGCAAAAGCCTACACAAGCCATGGGGCATAGAACCCTCATAGTGACCTAGTTATTCAGGCCCCCACATTATTATTATTATAGTTATTATTGTTATAGTTATTATTATAGTAACTTCATTATTGCAAGCCATGGGGCCTTCCTCCTGGCAGCTCGCCTTGGCTGCCGCGCGCGGGAGGGCGAGCGCCCGACGCCGCTCGGCTTTCAGCACAAAGAGAATCTAATTTAGGGGCCTGAATGATTAGACTAGGGTTCCTTTGAAAGGCATGCCTTGAAGGGGTCTACAAGGGATCTACAACATAGGGGCCTTAACAATTAGTTAGTCTAAGACTACGGCAGCAAGGGATGGCTGTTTTCCCCTGTGCTTCGGCAAAAGCTCATGAGCCTGAGTCGTCGAGGAGCGAAGCAATGCCATATGCACTGGAACATCCCCCTCGAGGAGCGAAGCAATGCGATATGCACCGGAACACCTGCGTAGAACGGCCTGAAAGAAACTGTGCAAAGGCCTAGCAGCGATCTTCAGATTTACACTGCTTCAAAACAACGTTTCCCTCCTTCAAAGGGAGACTCAGTCGCCCTGAAAGAGGCCACCAGTCACTAGCCAGTTTGGGCTTCGTCAGTATGTCGGCTCGTTGAAGATGAGTCGGTACCCAAACCAAAGGTGCCCGGGCATCATCGTGGTCGGCGGTCTCCTCCGTCAGCGTCTGTCGTAGGCAAGCAATATCTATCGCGAGGCGACGGTCGGAGGGAGTTCTTGGGAGTCCATCACGGTGCATGTGATCATAAAGGGAACGGCAATCGGTGACTCCCAGGATTGGAATCCCTTTTCCTGAATCCCTGGTGATCTTGCCGGAGAGGAAGGAGTCGATCATGGCCCTCACGTACTGCCCGAGCTCGAAACCCTCAATGCACCCCATGGTTTCCGCACCAAACGTAGATCTACACACCCTGTCGCAAGCATGGGATCGCCATTCCAGAATGCTGGCCGGTGAGCCCGCGGAAGTGACTCCGTCTTTGCCGCAAACCATCACCAAAGTTCCGAGTTGTGATGCCACACTCGAGTTCCTTTTCTTCGTCTTGCGGGCCTTGTTCACCCACGGTCCTTCGGTGATCCTGCCGTTGCGCTCATCCTCCTCGTAGAGAAAGTAGACGGGGTCCGCGTTGGAGTCCGGCGCGTTGCTCCACCCTGCATCATGAAACACAGTCACCACCATCTCGTCGAGGGGAACCTTCGCCAGGAGGATGCCCTCGTCCTTGTGCAGTAGTGCCCGCTTCGCCATGGTGTTGGTAAAACGGATGTCCTCGATCGTTGGTCGGGCCTGTAATTGTTGGCACATCGATACTCCACAGGCCAAATCTGGCCTTGACTGCGATGCCAACCATGATAGGGCACCAACCAAGGAACGGTTGTCCGCAACTTGTTCAGGGTCAGCGAGTGCATCGGCGGGTGCCTTGGGGTCCACGTAGATCTCGAAGAGTCGGTTGGTGGCATAGGAGGACTGAGAGACGAAGATGCCATCATGTCGGGTCTCGATGTGGGAACCGATGAAATCGAACACGTCCTCTTCCCATTCGTCAACCGGAAAACATTTGGAAAGTTGTTCCTGAACAGATGCACGTAGGGCTCGAGGTCCAACCAGAAGGATATCATCAACATGAACCGCTGCGTAGCAAAGGGGCGGTCCTGTGCCACGCTTGCCCTCGGCATCAAGCTCAACCAGTTGGAACACGCATGGGTCCAACGGGGAAGCGAAGAACTTGCCCTTCTTGTTGTCGGGAAGGTCGATGGTCAAGTTCTGGATATCCTTCTTGAACTTTTTCCACCACTTCCGGGGACTGTCAATCAATCCGAACACCCCCTTCTCGATCTTAATAAGTTGGTCTGGGTGAAGGCCCGGAAGTCCATGTTTGGGTTGTCGTAGATAAAGTTCACGATCCAGCTTCTCGCCGTTGAGAAACGCTGCGGTCACGTCGCCTGCGGCGATGCCCCAATTGGAATCCAGCTGGGAGGCGGCCAACTGGAGGAGCGTCATGACGGCAGTGCGAGACACTGTTGGCGAGTCGGTCCGAAGGGCACCGGAGATGATGTCCGGGTCGGTGTGTCCGGACACCACCAGCCTTGACTTGGCCTTCCATTCGACCGAGGGATCGGTCCGTCTTCGGGCCAAGTTCTTGTCGCGGTACGCAAACCGCGAGGAGAGCACCCGTCCTGACTTCATCTTTTCTGCGCTCTCGGTCACATCCAGTGGGCGGAGAGCCCCCAAGCGGAGATGTTCTTCCCATTGCTTGTGTTCCGCATCGATGAACAGCTGCCTTTTCTCTTCTGGAATCATATTCCAAGGGATCTCCTTCTCAAGCTGTTTGTCCCTGCCCCGTTTGGTAGTCGCTCTCTTCAGCATATGGGCCTCGTTGACGTTCTCCTTCTCCTTCGGGTTCTCGTAGGGCTCTGGTCTCTTCGTGGAGAATCTCTTGCGGACGGCGCGGGGGAGATCTTCGCGAGGAGGTCCAGGTGGCCTTTCATCGGGTAGGTCGCCGTTATCAAGTTCCATGTCTCCTGTCTCGTTCTCGCCTTCTTCGCCTTCGGGTTCGGAGAGATCCATGATCGCATCGAAGAGGTCCTTGTCCCCGATCTCGGCATCGTCCTCACCCGGGAAGACCGCAGAGTCGTCGTAGTTCCTCTCGACCAAGCGAAGTAGATCGTCCTTTGTAGCACGGAGCGCAAACATTCCGCCCAGCTCCTCGGGAAGAGCCTTGCGCAGGTGCTCTGGGGCGCAAAGGTAGCACCGTCCACTGTGTGATACCCAGTAGTTATTGTCCTGGCGTCCGATGATGGTGCCAGGCCCCTTCCACAGACCGGTCTTCTTGTTCGCGGGCTTTCTCCAGAAAAGGACCATGGCACCATTGTCGAGGTCTCTAGGCTTCACCCGGGCCCTCTGGGACATTCCCCGCCGAATCTTGTCTTCGGTGCGGGATCTGAAGAAGGAGAGCTTGGCGGCGTTCCGGATCATCTCACGGCGTTGCTGTGCGGAGTCTGGGGTCCTGAGCAGTTCTCCTCCGCCTTCTTCTACTTCAAAACGTAGATCATCGTCACCGCGGGGGTTCTTTCCAAAGACGATCTGGCATGGGGCCCACCCACAACGGCGCCGTAGTTCATTTTTTGCGGTGGACGTCGCCGCGATGGCTTCCTCGACTTCGTCGCCACGCACCGTCTGGTCCTGCACGACCCTCGCAAAGATCTCTTTCCACCACTTGCCGTGCCTTTCTGTGAACCCGGACTGCCAATGAGCCTGCCCCGCGCTGGTACGAAGGTCGATGTGAAACCAATCAGCAAGGCGGCCGAAAGCATCCTGGATTCCTCTCTCCAAGTCGAGCGTGATCACCTTTGGGGCCCCAAACACCTGGATCCAGTGCTTCACGAAGGCTTTCTCGAGCACCGTCCCGGTTTGTTGGGGCACTTGTACCACCACTTGGTAGGAAGAGGCATGGTCCACGATGGAAAACAGCTTGATCTTCTTGCCGTCGATGTCGTAGTCATACATCATGTCGACGCCAACCACGTCTCCAAATTCCAACAGCTTCGGTTCTGCTGCAGGGCGGGCGCTCTTTGGACCTTTAGTCCTCGCACAGGTAGAACACGAAAGGCTCTTTGCTGCTTTGATCACGTCCTTGTCGGCCCCGGCAAGGTGCAGATGGCGGACCAGGTCCTCACGGGCAGGATGTCCGAGGTTCTGGTGTAGACGACGGAGAGCGGCTGCAGTGTCCTTGGGAACCTTTTTGTCGAACGTAATTCCAGCAGCACCTTCGCGGAGAGGGCGCTCGTCCTGATCATCTCGAGCATCTCCTTCTGCCATGTGGTTGGAGACGGTCTCTATAGCTGTAGCCCTGAAACATTGCTTGTTGTCGAGGAAGACTGTGCTGACTGACCCAAAAGTGGCGAGTTGGCGAAGCACTCTCTGTTGGGACTGCTCTGGTAGAGGATCGGTGGGGATCACAACTGAGCCGTAGCGCTGTACCTGCCATCGTCCACATACATCCACAACTTCGAAGAACTTCGCCTCATCAAACGCCCTGTTCGGAGGGGCTGGATTGATCCACAACATAGAAGGCCTGGACTGGTCGAGCATAGTGATCAAGTAGTTCCCGGAATCAACCTGCGGGACGTCGTTCCAAGGGACCGGTTCCGCGACGTAGCATCCGAAATCATTCGTCGCCTGCAGGGTCTGCTCGATCCCACCAATCTCAAGCAGGGCCACCGCCGGAGCAGGAAGAGGTTCCTGGGTCGGAGAGGCCAAAGCAAGAGATAACGAAGACAAAGACCAGGTGAGGAAAGCACTGGCTCTGGAAGCATTCCTCCACAAACTTTTCCTCATGCTCTTCTTGGGCCTCGAAGTCGTTGTTGAGGTAGAAGGGAAAGTAGTGGTGTCGGTGCCTTCGCCTCCTGGAGGCGGCGTCGCCCTCTGTGAAGGGAGGTGATTGACGATCTGTTTGCGGTCACGGGAGAGGTGGCGTAGATCATGTAGTGGGAATCCCCAGAAACGGAGTTGTCGGCGTTCTCCTTGTGTACTTCCGGCAAATCCCCTGGTGGAAAAAGCCGTCACGGACCACCTGTCACCGGCAGTCCATTGTTGGGCCGAGTGGAAGCGCTCCGGCACAAAGGACACCACGGTCCCGGAAGTAGGCTGCACCTTCCCCTTGATCTCGCGCCCCTTGGGGTCCAACACGATGTCGTCACCCTTGGCATGCCCATTCTCCTGCCACAAGCCTCCTCCACCAGTGAAGTCGCCGGCGCAGGTGATGTAGTTCAAGGTGCCTCTGAGGTTGTTGAAGTCGGCGTGAACTCGTGGAGAACAATTGTACGCAATCGAGAGGGATGACCACCTTGCATCGGGTTGTTTTGCGAGGATGTAGTTCTTGAGGTAGATGCAAAGGGACGCGTACTTCGAGGTATTGGCACAGATCCCCCTCATGTTCCCGTAGGTGTAGTAGCCAAGGGAAATCCTGCAGGAGCCGGTGTCACCTTCCCCCATAGCCTTTTTCCTAGCCCGAGCACCTCGATTGGGAAAGTCTTCTCCGTTCTTGCCGAAGGTGGCCTCCAAGACCGAAGCAAGGGTCTCCGCAGAGTAGTCCTCCTTGAGGATGGCCTCCGAGAGGAAGTTCTCGACATTCTCAGAAAGCAACACAAAGGAGTCCTGGTCCTCGCCGACGAGTTCCTCCCATATCTCCTCGTTATCTTCGTCGCCCTCGTGGTAGGAGAACACGGCGTCCTCGGTCTCCCCGGAGATTTCGCACAGGTCCTGTTCCTCGCGGAATCCGGAGTAGGCTCCGCTCACTGGGGGCCCACCTGGTCCTTCAGCACCGCAAGGCGTTGTTCCAATGCCCTGATCTCTTCCAGGACCTGCTCCGGCGGGTCCACATGCATCCGCTCCTTGGTGGCGTTCTTCTCCGCGCCGCGCTTCGTAGGAGACGCCTTCGGAGGGGTCTGGGCCGTGAAGCTCGAAGGAGTCAGGGGCTTCTGGTCCTTGTCCGCCTGGCTCATCGCTGACACCTCCTCCCAAGACCGGGACGACGCGGACCCTGGATAGGGGATCTTGGCATAGCGCTCGGGCTCCTCCATCATCTCGCGGCGGGACGGTCCCGCCTTCACTTCCTTCTCCTCCGACGTCCGGCGGTACCACAGAACAAAGCGCTTGAGGTCCGGACTCATGTTGATCCCGTTCTCCCGTTCTTCGCGCGAGGCCCACTCCGCATACTGTCGAGGAATCTGGAAGTAAGCACTTCCTTTGTAGCGCCCGATCGTCATGATGGTGTTGTCCGGCGTCTCGTGGTAGTCCCTGATGTGGCGCATCAGCGTTCCCCTCGTCACCTTGGAGTCGTAGGCCACTCCGATGCGATCTGCCTCCATCTTCAGATCGGCGAGCTTCATCCCCGACATCCCTTTCGGGACACCCTTCTCCTCCTTGTCGATCGCTTTGGACTCGGTGATCGCGCTGCGCAGCTCCTCCACGGTCCATGTTGACATCGGGTTCAGGTTGAGGCGGGTCGCTTCGGAGAGGAGCTCGCTCTTGGTCATCTGCCATGTTGGGCGAGACGACATTACCAGAGAGGCCGGGAGGAGTTCGAATTGGGGCAATCGGTCTACGATTGAACACTGTTCGGCCGATCCAGAGGCATTGGTGGCAGTTCGTGGCATCGGCAGGCATCGCATTCCAGAAGTCAACTGCAAGAGGAAGACCGCGCTGAGAACGACAACTGATGCTGAAAGTTTCCCTGACGCTACCGAGCACCTTCAGGAGATTGTCTCGTAGCAATGACTGTTGTGTATTCCAATTCACAGGACTGAACAGGGATTTCCGAGGAGTGACATGGATGCGTATCAGAGAATATTGTGTCTCTATCCAAAAGTCTGATGAAATACGGGTCCCGTTCCACCATTTCACGAAGTTCTCGACAGACAGGGTCTCACTGATAAGGATGTTCTTCACTTCGGGAGGGATCTTCTTGGCATAAAATATCTGAGGAAACTGTGCTTGAGGTGGTCGGCTTTCGGGGAGAGCGTTAACTGCTACAAAGGCTTCGTAAGGTCCCGTTCCCCCACTGCAGTCCGCCATGTATGCTGCCGAGTCGAGAAGGATCTGTACCTCTCCGCGGACGCACTTATTGGCGTCCCACATCTTGGGCTGTGCTTCCAGCGGGATGCCCTGGCCTCCGGGATGAACGCTTATTGCCGGATGCCCGGTGGGGGTCGAAAGCAGAGGATGGCCGCTGACACGCACAGCTTCGAAGTCCGCCTTGTGCTCCTTCAGGTTATAGACCATTCCGAGTTCGGCTAAAACAGAGCGGCTCAGTAGTAGTGGTAAGTCTCCATGGATGATAGCCACCTTCACGAGCACCCACGAAGAACCCACCTTGAAAGAAACCACGATGGCATAGTTCGAGGAATAGATCCTAGAAGCTCCGAACCTGAAGTTGTCTGACTCACCCAGCAAAGGAACCTCGATGTTGAAGGCCTTGAGGACCTCCACATAGCGCTGCAGCCACGAAGTTCCTGCTACCGATTTGGTACACGCACTGTCGGTAATCGCAAGGAGGTTCTCGCTCAAAGGACCACTCGTCATGAAAACCTCGTTGGAGATGTTGGCGGTCTGGGGCTTGTTAGGTTCAGGGCTTCCTTTGGGCTTACCGTTGGGAGGTCCAGGGCATTCAGGATCTTTGTACCAGTGGCCGCGCTGTTTGCAGACACTGCAAAAGGAGCGCTGTTTGGCGCTCAGGATCTTGTTCTCGATGGCTTTCTTCACTTCATCTGGCTCCAAGTTGCGCCCTTTTACTGCATCACGGTACTGGGCCTTCGCAGTCATAAACGCCTCGTAGAGCTCGGCCTCCTCCGGGTTGAGGGGGTCCTCGGCGTCGAGGTCCTCGTCGGCCTCCTCAGGGATGGGCTCCGCGTTGTTGGCGGAGTTCACCTTCAGGTTGTTCTTAGCTCGTTCCCAAGGCTTTGGGTGGTCCTTGTCCCAGGGGCGTCGAAGACTCTTCTCATGAAGAACTGCAGCACGCTGAAGCTTGGTACACACGAACTCGTTGTTCACGCTCCCAAGGATGGCCAATTCCTCGGAGTGGGACAAAGACAGCGCGCTCAGATAAGCCCAAGCGCGAGCGGTCTCCGGAAGCTTGCACTCGATCTCAACCAGCCTGGCATAAGCACGATCGAAGGTAGCATTGAACTCGCGCACCGATTGGGTCGGGCCCCGCCGGAGCTTCCTGAAGAAACCATTGAGAGCCTCCGCTATCTTTCCCACTTCGATCTCCTGGTAGCGCTCAGCAATCCATGCCTTAAAACGTTCTACACCGTCAGGAACGCAAAGCTCGGCAACCTCGAGCTCCTCAGCCTCAATCCACGCGCGCCCCTTGAGGTTCTGGTACAGGAGGAGGGCCTGTTGGGCGCAAGGAGTCCGAGTGACCCGGACCCACGCCTCGATCTGGCGGATGTAGCTGCGTGCCGATTGTCCGAGCTCGTCTCCACTGTTTTCTGCTGAGAAGGTGGGCACAGACATCCTCTCGCTGAAAGTGCCTCGGCGCTCGCCATCATCCGACGAAGGAGCACGAGACTGGTTCCCATCAAAGGACTGCTGGTGGGACTGCCACTCTCCTCCAGGAATGGCATTGCGATGCCACTCCGTCTCCCAGGGATTATTCGAAGTGTTCGCCGAAGTCGATCGAGTCCACTCGGTCTCCCAAGGTCCAGTCGAATTGTTCGCCGAGTGAGAATTGGACCACTCGGCTTCCCAGGGTGAGGTAGTCGCCGAAGAAGATCGAGTCCAGGAGGCCTCCCAGGCGCCGCCGTCACCAGGCGAGTGCCCGCGATTCCCAGACCAGGAATGCCCCTGGTTGTATCCCGAGTTCCAGCCTGAAGACCACGTAGAAGCCCACGATGACTGCTCCGGCCAGGAGCCATTCCACACATGCTTCGTAGGGTCGTAGGACTGCCAAGGAGAGTTCTCGTTCCAGTCGTGTCTCTCCTCGGGCTGCTTGCCAGAGGGTTGAGGCTCATCGTTGTCCCTGTCAACGGCAGGGTCCCCCTTAGCATTCTCGGCGTCATCGCCCGAATGCTTCCCCTTTCGCCAAGCACGGCGGGAACCACCGCCGTCATCACCGTGTCCATCGGGAGGATCAACTTCGCCGGGAGGATGAGCGGCCCGGGCGGCATCAGCCCAGGGATCTAAGGGCGCTGCGGCGCCGTCATCGTCACAAGGTCCATCGCCTAGCAAAGAAGTCATCTAGGAGCCCTAAGGGCTCCGCTACCAATCTAAGACTACGGCAGCAAGGGATGGCTGTTTTCCCCTGTGCTTCGGCAAAAGCTCATGAGCCTGAGTCGTCGAGGAGCGAAGCAATGCCATATGCACTGGAACATCCCCCTTGAGGAGCGAAGCAATGCGATATGCACCGGAACACCTGCGTAGAACGGCCTGAAAGAAACTGTGCAAAGGCCTAGCAGCGATCTTCAGATTTACAGTTAGAATAGGGTTTTGGGGTTCACTATACTACAATTAAAATAAAGAACCCCCCAAATAGTATTGTGTTGTTGATCATCTTCGGGTTGAGGACTCTGAGGTGAATGAAACGCAGACATCCAGTTTTAAAGAAGGGGTCACAGCAAACGGACCATGCAAAAGCGATCGGCCTTATGTTTTCACGCGAAGCCAGAAAGTAACATGTTTGATCTATGCAGAGCGTCTAAGCTGTGACGTGTCAAGCGGCTTTACATGCTTGTGATCACAACGAGCACTGCTGTCAGCCAAAGCTTCATACTCCAGCCACCAGGTCTTCACTCAACAGACCACATGACTGAACAGGCTTCAACACTCCTCCTTGGCATTATCCCTTCGGGTGTATGCCACATGTCATTTGTAAATTCACAAGCATCACTTCGAAGCTCGAGCATGCAAAGTCACCTCCCTTCTGTACCAGTGTGGTTTCCAGTAGCCGCGGGTCTCAGTGACCTTTTCGAGAAAGGCCATCATTGGGATGATCAACCCAGTCGTCTTGATGATGATGAACCCCTCTCTCTCCTTATATAAAGTGGAACCTGCCCTTCGCACCAATCACAGAACCCGTAGGACTTTACACGATGCGATGCCAAGCGAAAGCCATGACAATCTTGACGAACATGCACATTCTTCCCGTGCTCCGTCATGTAGAATGGCCCTTCAAACCTGAAATACTCTGCTTGCGGCTCCACGACCTCATGACGCCACTCAGCCTGTGTTCCCGCGTCTCGCAAGATTCCCGGTCTACTGCTTGATCGTTGGGGACTCTGACGTAGCATTGGAGCTGTGTCCAGCGCCCTTGTCATCGCTCCCTGCATTGCTCCTTCCACTCTCGCTTGAGGTGTTTGTCCTCCGACATCATGTGACTCATCCCAGGCGCGATCCAGCTCCGTTTCCACCGCGGCCTTGGCTAGGTCCCTCATGCGTTGAAGTCTTTGTGCCTTCTTTCCTTTTATTGCACGATTCCACATGCAATGACCACACCACTTTACCATCTCCCAGATGGCAACAGCTCCAAGACAACAGACTGCTACTACCAACACCAGCTCATCAACTCCTGCCAGATTCAACGGCTCCTTTTCTGCCGCCTCTGCAACAGGAACTGACTTTAGCGCCAACGTCAGCAAACACAGCATGATTGTCTTCACAAGCTTTGATTGGGTGGCCTCGTCAGGTAGACACTCAAAACCCCACATCTCCAGAAGTTCCCAAAGCCGTACTTTAGGGTGCGCCTTAGTTCCCAGATCCGCCAGCTGCTTGCGTCCCTCCACAAATTCAATCTGTAGAAGTCCCAGCTCAACCTGTTGTAGAACATAGGCGCTTCGCACTCGTAAGTGCCGGGTCCTCCATGAGCCCGGCCCTCCCTCCAGCATCGCCGTAGCTGCTGCATTGTCTACTCGAAGTACTCGGTCCACTCGTCTGCCACAGAACTCATCAATCAAGCAAGCGATTCCTTCCGCAAGAACAGCAGTTTGGGTTGCTTCCAGCAGCTCTGACTCCATTGTTGATAACGTAACCATGCCTTGGCGAGTCGCCTTCCAAGCAATGGGGCTGTCATTTAGCGTCACCAGCGCCGCTCCGTTGGATCGGGAACCGGTGGGAGCAAAGCTAGCGTCCGAATAGGCTATAACCCTTAACCAATTGAACCCAGTATCACCTGTGTACGTGTTGTCTGTGCGCGCGGTGTGTGGTGGGTTGCTTGTGGTTGTGCTGCTGCTTGCCGATGCTTCCTTCTTGTAGTCGCCGATCACGAGCTTCATCTGCACCGTTGCCGACAAGTAGGATAACACTCTTTTGGCGATGCGGGTCACTCTTTTCGGATGCTTTGAAACCCACTGTGACATATGTGCCACGACAAACTGTAGATCAGGTCTGCTCCGCATCGTCAACCATAGTAGTTCGCCTACCATTCTCTGGCCCATTCGTAAATCATCTTCATTGAACTCTTCGACATAGCCATCCACATCCTCGGCGACCCATTCCTTTGGACATGGCAACTGCGTTGGGGTGGCCTCTGTCATTTCATGCGACCCCAGCAGATCCCGAATGTAACCCGACTGTCGTAGTTCAAAAGCTCCCGTGGATGTTTGTGTCACCTCGGTTCCAAGATATCGTGTGCCCTCTGGTGCATCTGCCCATTGAAGTGTTGAGCAAGGCCATTTTTCACGCACCCAGCTGTCCAGTGCCTGAACCACCTTCGTAGATCCCAAAAAGAAGAGGTCATCGACGTAGGTAACCAACAGGGCCACCAAAGACTTCTTCTCCTTTTCAACATGATAGACCATCCAAACTTCCTTGTCCACATCTGAGGCCTTCATCTCCAAGTGTCCTTCTTTGTAGGGGATCTTCGCTGAAGTCAATCTCCGGGTTCTGCAAGCTGACCATATCGACGGAGATTCCCTCAGACCATATAGTGGTCTCTGCACTAGCCAAACCTCTGTTGGCGAAGCGTAGCCTCTTTCCACCAAAAACCTTGGCGGTTGAACTGCATACTGAGACAAACCTTCTGGCCACTCAGCCAAAAGAAAGGCCGATGATATGTCACTGGATGCTCCTCTCCAGCGCCTTGCAGCTCCATAGCATAGGGCCGCTCTGAAGGTTTCAATAGATGCCCCGCCCGCGTACAACGAACCATATCCTTCTTCACGTACTGCATGGTTGCCACAAAGAACCAAGCGATAGCGCCTTCGAAGCCGGTTTCCTGCAACATCGGGAGGTTTCAAAGTATGCACCCCTTTGGTCGGCACAAGTCTCAACTTCCCTTGTCGTTGTAGGTCCGCTGCCTCTTGACTCGAGAGCCTTCGCAAAGTTCCTGAGCCAAACAAACTGTCCAGCTCCTTTTTTATTGCAGCATCCCAACGCTCAGCAACAGGACGTACTTGTTCCAGGGGTACTGTGTGAACAACTTGTAAATCACCTTGTAGGTTGTCGATCACAGCCTCATAGTCAGGCTCCTGGTTCACAGCAGCCGCCTTCAAACAAGCTTCCATGTTCTTCTTGTCCAAGCCTTCCAACTCCTTGCTCGTACCATGGATCATGTTGTGGATGGTCTCGGCAATCCTTTTGGCTTCGTCTACCACATGATCACTTGCTTCTTGTAGATCATCAGCCAACGCCTGCTCCTCCTCAAGAAGCAACCTTAGAGCGGCTGCCCGCTCTTCCATGTCCTCGAGCAACTGTTGGTGAGCTTCATTCAAGCTAGTCAAGGAATTTTGCAACTTCTCTTCATCATTCCCAGACTTGTGGCTGAGCAACGCAATCTCTTTCTTTTCTGCCACACCCGCCACCAACGGAAAACCCATCTCCTGTAGCTTGATCGCGTTGCCATAGCGAAGGTTGGTAGCTCTTGGATGGTATGTGACCAACACAACCCGATCTCCTTCATGAGGCTGTAGTTCATGTCATAGTCGCGGTGAAAAGTGCACAGCCCTGCTTTCTTCGAAGTTTTGTACCACACGTTGCTTCCACACACCAGGCTTCACTTGCTTGTTCACAACAACCTCATGCTCCTTGGCCTCCCCTTGCACCCATATACCACCGTCCTTGAACTCACTGAGAGGGTACACAGCATTGGTAGTGTGAGGATGGTTGTGTAGATCACGATGACAACCGAGTCCTGAGTTCTTCACAATTCCTACTGCACCAAACTCCCTGATGCCCGCCACCTTCTGTGCAAACGTCGCCAGGTACTTTGTAACTGCTGGCATTCTCAAGGCCCCATCCCGCAGGCCACAAACTCCACCATGAGTAAACAGTCCCGTAATCCACGACGTAGTCTTCGGTGAAGGTTTCCTTCCATGAGACTTTGAGAACAATTGCTTGGCCTTCTCCAAGTACACATACAGGCTCAACACGTCATCCTTTGTGAACTTGTTGTTCCCCAAGAGCTTCTCAGCTAGGTATTCTGCCATCTGCTCTGGTTCTGACAAAGGCCTAAGCGCCCTAAGTCCTGTCTTTGAAGTCAAACGTCTTGACGGGACACCAGACGGCACAGATGCTTCACCTTCGGGGACACCAGACGGCACAGATGCTTCTTTATTTTCTAAAAGACCAGGTGGAACTTGATGTGGACCGGAATCTTCTGCTGGTAGATCGTGCTGAAAATCTACTTCTACAGGTCCATCTTTCCAATCCATAGCAAGCTCTGGAAACAGCTCGTCGCCTTCAAATGCCCCATACGCCCCATACGCCCCAGGTGGAACTTGATGTGGATCGGAATCTTCTGCAGGTAGATTGTGCTCACCCTCTGCTTCCTTCTGCTCCTCCTCTTGCCTTGCCAGAGGAAACTTTGTTGAGTGCCTTTTGGTAGGCGAGGGCAATGTCATCTCCACTTCATCCAGCACTATCTCTCGGTCCATATCCACAACCCCACTCTTGAGATGCATAACTGCTCACATAGCGTCCTTCAGGAAAGCGTACGGTATGGCCACCCTTGATGTCAGGTGCTGGTCCCACGTAGACACCCTCCTTCCACATGTTGTCCAGGTCAAACTTGTGGCCCGTTCCAAACACCTTGTTCTTCACATGCACGGGTGACGCAAAAGACAACAAAGAGCTGCCTCTTCCCAACGCCATTTCTCTCTGTTGGAAAGCTGAGTAGGTCATAGCCCACGGCCAACACGCCCGGGGAAGTCCCGATGCCATAAGCAACGCTTTGGTCCTTCTTTTGGCTCTTTTCACCGCTGCCTCTGCCCTTCCATTGGTCTGCGGCACTTGACTTTCTCCGCACGTTGGAAGAACATCTCGCGAGATCAGCCAGGATCTCAATGCACTCCCTCGCAGCTCTCTTGCCCGATCACTGTGCACTCTGGTAACTGGAAGTCCTTCAGCTCGCAATTGTAGGTACAAAGACTTCACCGCCGTATCCACTTCTGATGCCAGCCTCGTCTTCAGCGGGATCGCATAGTTGAGAACTTGGTATTCTGGTAGTTCCCCAACACCACTGAGCAACTTGCTGTACTTCTCCTTCGACTCCTTTAGGTCCTTCTCATCCGCCGGGTCGAGGGGTTCTTCTGGGTGTCCAACTTCGTCCATCAAGTCGTCCTCTTCGAACGCCTCCTCCTCTTCCGGGGTATACTCCGGGATTTTCTCATCCTTGGCACCACTAAGCTTCGGCATCACGTAAGCTCCGATCAAGGCGTACTTGTAATCCTTTGAGCCCGCGTACTCGCCCCGCACTCTGAACGGCCCACAAAGGTCCAGTGACAAAACATAGCACGACGGAGCCACTACACGCCGATGGGCTCGTCCCGTGGCGCACGTTTCGATGCAGGTTCTGCACCGTTTCTCAAACGGCAGGTGGCCGTTCTTTATGTGCCGAATCCACCTTTTCTTCTCTGCCTCTTTCATCTCGCTCAACGGAACATCATATTTCTTGAGCATCCAGTGGTGGAACGACTGCCTCCAATCTTGGATGGCTTGAATCACCTGGTGGCACACAGAGTCAGGCCACGCTTGACTGAACGGCGCCCCCTGCGATGTACCCCCGAGGTTGTTCTCAAGGTTGAGGTTCGTCACCATCAAGTAGTTGTTGCCCGTCTCCTTTGCCACGGTGCACACAATTCGAAGTTCATATTCATGCTGAATCATCTTCCACTGTTCGCTCTTGCCGAAGTGTTCCAAAGACTTCCCGCCCAAGGCCAAGTAGGGAGCCCGTTGTCCGACATTGTTGTTGGCGTGCGATGCCAGCATCCATATCCACAACAACTTGCTTCTCAGCTCTTCGGAGTGGTTGGTGGGGGCTGTACCATAGAGTCCTTCCAGTTGACCCCTTAGTGCCGCCCACATCAAAGCCTTGTACATCACACTGTCGCCCTTCAAGGAGAATAGCTTGCTTTTGTCCACATTGACATCCACAAACACGGCTTCAGCAGTATTCAACACCTTGAAGTCCACACCATCATCTCTGGTAAAGCAGCGCACCGACCACATCTTATCCATCAGAGCCTTCCGGGTCGCACGCTTGATGGGAAGGGCCTTCAAGTACTTCCAGCCACTCTTGTTGTCAAGGTTCATGGACGGAGCCATCATAGCCGGTAGCCCTTCTGAAAGTCCCCCAAGTGGTGAGGTGCCAAACATCAAAGCTTCCAAAGCATGGGCTCGTTGTCCTGTTTGCGCATACCTTGCCAACGAAACATCCCATAGTGCAACTTCTTCAGTGTTCATCAGGTTCACCGCGGTAGTGAGCACGTTGGACTCTAGCTCCTTAAGCTTGGCATCTTCAAGCTGCACAATGATTTCAAGAGCTTGGGTCTCTCCCAACATCGGGTGGTTCCCCTTCACAAAGGTCTTCAGTTCCCCAAACTGGGGATGTATCACACGGAGCCCTCCAGCCCTTGTCCATCTCAGCTCACAGCCTAACTGTTGCACCATTGCTCCAAGAGGAAGTATGGTGGGAACCGGATCTGCATCAGGCGCGTCCTTGGCCGCCAAGAGGGTTCCTCCACGGTTCTGTTTAACAGAGTGATGTACTGGCCTCCGGCCAATTCTACCCTCACCGGAGCCGAAACCCGCTCCTCCACATCATCCAAGGCCGCCCGGAACGAATGCGATGCTCCGGAATCTAGTAGGGCTGCTCTTTCTTCGTCCTTGCGCTCCACCCTCTCAATGCCAGCCGAAATCTCCTTCAAGTCCGGGCAAACTTTCATGGTGGCCAACTTAGTCAACTTGCTCAGCATAGCATTCGCTTCCTCCAACAAAGCCTTCACGTCCTGGGCCCGCGGGTCTTCTGCTGCAGTTTCCCGGCCAGTTGTGGTGGTAGTAGAGTTAATAGAGGAAGTTCCGGCAGCTTGCTGAATCGACTCCAACAAAGCTTGCTGCGACGCCACTGGCGCCGGTGGTTGCGATGCCGCCAAAGCCGCCAAGCTGGTTGCCGTAGTCGCCGCTGTCGTGGTAGGCCCATTTCCATCCTTAGAGCTACGTCCTCCCTTTCCATTCTTTGCCGCGACTGGACAGTCAGTCCTTCTGTGTGACGTAGCGCCACACTCCCAACACTTCTGCTTCTTGGCTTCCTTCGATTCGAAGGTGTGATCGTACTTGCATCCACTGCTGCCTCGTTTGCATCCAGCATCTCCCTGAAAGAACTTACATGGCGTCTTCGCTCCCGTCTTCCGAGTGGGCGACGAACCCGGCGACAATGACTCTCCCGTTCCCGCTGTGGTTGTCGTCACCGCCTTCAACCTCAGGGATTCCGTCGTAGAAGCCGTGGCCGCCGTTGACGAAGGAGAGCTTCTGGGCCTCGCCGGAGCCGCTTGCTGCATTTCCGCCAGGGCATGGCTGTGGTACTTTATCACACTTTCCAAAGTAGGCCGACTGAACAGCTGAAGGTCATTCTTCACCAAGGACAACCTGAAGCGGATGTCCCCGTTGCCTTCCATCACTTTCGCCGTGATGAGCTCCACGCTTTTGAGAAGTATCGACGCATCTGGGATGGCTACTCCCATTTCTTCCGCTCGTTGTAGATACCGACGCCTATAAGTGATTCATCTAGGCCCGGGGGCCGGGACGCGCAAGGGGGTTCAGGGCATTTGGAGCATGGGTTCCAAGCCCTGGACTTGAAAATGATTTGTTGTAGTAGGGTTTGATTATTTTTCCATCAATCAGTCAGCACAAGAACAACAGCCTCTCCAAACAAGTACCGTCCCTTCCCAAGAAAACGCGGCACGTTTTGGAACAAAATCGTCGTGAAAGCTACAAACCTACAACTTGTGATGTAGCCAACCCAAACTGCAAACCGCAAGCAAGCATATCTTCCTGACTTTGTCGGCTGTTTTATGAACTCGAATTCCGCGATTTCTCAGCCGCCGGGCCGAAACTCGATTGGGAATTGGGAATCCGAATCGCAGCACAGTTCAGGCTCATGACTCACGTGACAGTGACAGCTTGACAACTTATCATCCAATCTTGCAAGAGGGCGTAGGCAGTAGGCATAGCCTAGCTTGCTTGAGGTGTTACATTGGTTTTCGTTGTGTAGTGTCATAGTGCTATGGCAGAGCCTGCCATCTTTAGGCTTCCAGATCCTGGGGACGGTGAGCTTGAGGACAGAGAGTCCGAGTCAGAGGCCGAGGAAGCTCCCACGTCTGCAGGTGCCCTGCGGAATCGTCGATATAGGGCCAAATGTCGAAATGCTTCCCGTGCAGAGGTTTTGTTTCTGTATGTGAAAACCTGTGGCGACGAATCAGAATCTCTGGGCACCGCTGCTGCAGGGAATTATTTGTTGTGTGTTGCTGAGCTTGGGGAAAAATGCATCAAGCCGCTGGGTGCCCAAGAGCACTTGCAGCAGCAAGATACTTGGCGAGCTCGGCATCAGAAACGTCGCGATCGAGATTTCGCCGCTAAGCAGATGTCCCTCCAGAACCAGACAACCCGAAACCAGATGTTCAAGTGCTGTTTGAAGTCTCTTTTTCGTTTCAGGGCAGCTGTCCAGTTGGGGCCTGCCCAGGCTGCAGTGGCAGGTGCCTGGTGCCGGGCACCTGCAGCTGCTAACCAGGGTGCGGTGACTCCTGTTCCTGCGATGCCCGCCTTGGCTGGCAGGTTGGCGGTTTTGCCTGCAGGGCAAGCGCAATGGGTTTTTCAAGCTGCTGCGCCAAGCGTCATCTTCGAAGCCGTTGCAGATCGCCAGGGCCTTTACACTTGCTTTGCAGACGGACAGGCGGCGGAGCCTGAAGTAGGCACTGCGAGGCGTTACCTAGGGCGTCCTTTCTGGATGGTTCGCTTGCCACCAACTGTCATGAAGCATTTGATGGAGATAGGCAAGGAGTTCGTGGTTCCTGGTGGGCTTGTGACTTCTTTGGGGCACCAGTTGCCCGGAACCGTTCCTGCTGCGGCAGAAGGAAGCCCCAGTGATGGTGCCGACAGTGGTTCCTCTTCCTCCTGCGAGATGAAGAAAGTGCGCAGGCCGGCCATGCAAGAAATCCTGTTGGGAAAGCTCGCTTACAAGCTCAGCTCAACAGTAGGCATTCAAGATGTGGTTCGCACCGTCCTTCGAATGTTAGTGCCAGATAGTTTAGGTCTGGCAGACAACATGAAAGTGTCGCATGGGCATGTGCGGAATATCTTGCTAAAGCTTGATGCCTTGCATTCCTTGTCTCGCCGGTTCCTTGCCCCACCAGGTGGTGGGGCAGACAAGTCGCTGCGAATTGTCAGGTACATCAGTCCTGACAGTTCCCCGCAAGCGAATTATGATTATTTTTGTGCGACAGAAGAGTTGCTGCTCTATCGTTCCGACGAGCTTCCAAGGGATGCGGGTGGAAATGTAGCTCCTTTCAAAGGGTTTGAACACCAGAGGCGTTCGATGTTGTGTACAACAATTGCGAGAGGACAAGGAAGCACAGCTTCGAAGGCAAGCAAGATGGTACATATGATTGCCGTTGAGAGTGGTGCGTCTCTCTTTGAGACGTATCGTTCGGAAGTTCGGGGCTTCTTAAGCGATCAAGGAACGGAGCGAGGCATAGCATCGTTTCCAGTCCGCAGTTGCTCTGAGGTCCAGAGTATTGTGGGCGCTCAAGCTTTGGCGAGCGAGGCAATACAGGAGGATTTTCGTGAATTGCCGCTCTTTCATTCCGCTCTACACATACCGGGAACACTACACATAGTGTTTAACGCACTGGAATTCAGCTTGAAGCAGCTTGAAACCTGGCAAAAATTCGAGAAACAGTTGAACAGCATCACCCGTGTGTGCAAAGAAAAGAGTTACTCAGAAGTAATTCTTGTGAGAATGATGAAGCATGCGAGCCCCGAGGAGAGACGGTTGTTGCATCGGATGGATGACCTCTTAGACTGGAGGTGGGATTCGCTCGCAAGAGTGCTGAAGGTTTGGGTTCCTCTATATCCCACCTTCAAGAAATATTGGAACCCAGCTGTTTTTGGTGGGGACAGCTCGTCAGTCACAATTCGAGCTGTGACGGAAGCGTTGGCAGACGAGTGCCATTTCGACATGGCAGTGTGGACGCATCAGTTCTCTGCCGAGGCCACCAGGCTGGCCCACTTTTTCGAGGGTTGTCACTGCCATCAGGAGCAGCTGACAGACCCAGAAAACCGGGAAAAGATAAACTGTTGTTGGAAAGGCAGGCGCTTGCCTTGGCTTGCGGTTGGTAATCTCCAGGGAGCTTTGCAAGATGCCATGACAAACAACGAGATTAGTGTTCTTGCGCATCTCTTGTCTCGTTCTAGTGAAACTGCAAGTCGGATGGCGCACATGGCGGACACGTGCAACAAAGTATTTGTTGCCGTTATCCAGCAAAAGCTTGCGTATGCTCAGCAAGTACCATGGGTGTTTGCCGCAGCGTTTGCGGGGTATATGGGCGAGACTTGGGGCCGAGTGAAAAAGGTTCTTCGGCCACATCTTCAGAACGTTGACAACATGATCTCCAGTGGCCAAGTCGGCGCTCTAGACTCTGTTACACATGCTTTGTTTGGACCAACCGACACAGGCCGCATGCTCCGAGAGTTTCTGAACTCGGAGGATGACGTGCCCCTTGATCGATGGCCAGCGTTGTTTTGGAGAGTACAGGAATATGCCTTTGTTTCTTTGTCCGAGCGACACACGGAGAGAGAGCATGTCGGTGTCAAGGTTGCAGCAAACCGTGGTCTCACAAAGGCTGGGCCTGCAGTTGTCTGCAGCCGCAAGCGCAGAGATCAAGTGTTGGAGATGCTGGAAGATGAGAAACAGCTCGCTTTCTTGGTCAACAATTGGCGCAGCAGGCGCCTTTGGAGTAGCCTGCTGGAGCACATGCTCACTCACGAAGAGGTTCGACTTATGGAGACGCCAAAGAGGCTTTCCCGCTTGTACGGGTATAGCGAGGAAGACCACTTCAAAGATTGCGAGGACTCTGTTCGTGCTGATGCCGTTTACCGCCAAACTTTGAGAGATCAGACTTTGTTACTGGCCGGAAGCTTCAAGCTTCCGAGTGCTTCCTACCAGGTAGTGAACTGGCTGAAAGGCCATTTGGCGACGGGCGTGTTTTTCAGTGTGTCCACGCATGTCTTTGAGCTACTTGTCGACAGGGGTCGGAGATGTGAAGACCCAGCCGCATCCTTCAGAACCGACGTGCTGCTGTCTATTCTGCGAGCCGACGTCCACCCTCGGGTAAGTGATCGTGCTTCGGTTTTCTGCTCGGTGCTGGATGCCAGGCCAGAAGCAAGAACGGATGCTCGTGTTTCGCGACCTGCTGCACACATCACAGACCCGAAGCTAGGCCGCCGCAGCTGTGTGGTTGTGCAGCGTTTCCACGACGTGGATGTTTCCCAGGGCGTGCACGGCCTTGGTGGAGATGTGCGGGTGGCGTGCACGAATGTGCGGATCGAGGTTCTCGACTTGGCACGGGTGTGCACAGCAGAGAACTTGAAAGCCTTTTGTGCAAACTGTTTGCTCTGGCGTGCTATGCCTGCGGAACTGGCCTTGGCTCTGGGAGACGAGTCCACGCAGCCAGGTTTGCTGCAGGAGCCGCAAGTGCAGAAACTTCCAGAGATTGTCTTAGACAGCGATCCTGCCTGCTTGTTGAGTCGACCGCCTCCGGATCCGCATGTGGAAGATGCCCTCGACATCCTGCACCCCCCTGCCCATGTCGTGCAGAATGCGGACGACTCTGCGGTGCTGCAGGTCTACGGTGCTCCGTGTAGCGACCGAGAAATGCAAGCTATCAAAGAGTTGCTGCGAGCAAGGGCCATCGGCATTGAATCTGCTGTGTATGCCACAGACCTTGAACACTTCGATGCTGTTGCACTGGAAGGCTTGCGTGACCGAGGTCTTGTCATCTGCGAGACTGATATGTTCTCAGATGTATCCGTCGCCTTGACGGGCAAGTTGACCTACAGTGCAAGCTTGGTGCTGGCACGGCCATTGTTGCTTTGGGAGCTTGACCAAACGACTTTGACTCGAGGCCAGATGCCAGGCCGATCAAAGTTGGAGTTAATTCGTTTGTTGTTTGTCTTGGGCTGGGAGCCAGGGCTGGGCCGGGAAGCGTGGCATCGCAAGCAGGGAGAGAAACGTCTTCCAGATGACGTTCTAGTTTGCAGCCTCCCCTTCCTCAGAGCTTTGATGCTGAGTCGGCTTATATGGGAAAAGCCCGGCAACTTGTCGGGCATTTACTTGAAAGGCCCCCAGCAGTATTATGAGTTCTTGGTGGATCAGGACGATCTCAGCAGCTTGCGGGATGCTTCTGCAGAGGAAATCAATGCTCGGTTCGCGCAGAAGAAAAAAAGACCTGCTGGCCGCAGCTTGACAAGAGATGCGGCTACAGGTCTGGAGCTTGACCCAGAGGCTGATGATGCCGAGTTAGAAGAGCTTGTGCAAGAGCTGCCTGAAAAGCTCATGCAAGCAGAAGAGCCGCAGCCAAGCATGGCCAGCGGTGGTAGACGTGTCGCTCCTCTAGAAATCGACTTGGGAGGCGGTAGGACACAGGTAGTGCATTTTGACAATTTCACACACTCCAGCGGTCAGCTCCGAGCATTCGTTGCTTGCGAGACACACAGCGGCTGCCGCTTGTACACGTTTGTACGGCATCATGGCAGCCGCAGGCGGGCTGCTGCCTTTTTGCTTGCTTGGCAAATGCGAGCAGCTCACCACCGCAGAGCTGAAGCTCACATTGCGGACAAGCCAAGTGAAGAGCAGGTGGATGCCATGATGCTCCGGATCGCTTGATGCAACACACGGCAGTCAGAGTGAACGTTTGAGGGTTTTTTTTTAGTTTGTTGCATTGTTTGGATGCAGGACACGTGTTGGCTGACTGTGCTGCTTCCGTTTGCTGCAAGAGTACCTCGGTCACTGTGGGCATGTGTGACTGCCCGTGCATGTGTGACTGCCCGCAGCCCCTTTCGGCTCCTTTGGGCTGTGCAGGGGCCAATGCATTGGCATTTCTCCCACTACGGAAGGCCGGCAGGGAGAAGTGTAGTCGAGTCTCGAAAGCTTTGCGGTGAGAAACCTGTAAAGTTACAAAGCTTTGAAACCCAGGCAGTCCTTAAGCCCCTAGAGTAAGAAGCTTGCTAACTCACAGAGCCAGATGCGGCCACCGTGTGCTCACCTGGGTTTCGGGCTGCGTTTTCGACGCTAACCCATTTCCCAGGCTGCACTTTGGATCGGCACGCTACCTGGTCTGTGGGCTGCACGAAGCTACCCTGGAGCTACAGGATGCACAGTAGTCAGTTTAGCGTCCCCGCTATAGGTGTAGCAGCAAGCCAGGTTGCAGGTGTCTGTTGGAACAGATTAGCCTCTCAAAATCAAAGCAAAACCCCCAACACCTTAAAAAAAATTGCTCGCAGGTGGGTGCCGGTGGTCTACAACCAGTGGGGCGAGGCGCAGCTCCCACACCGGCCGCCTGTGCTGTTGCCGCCGCATCCGCCGGCGGCGGCGGCCACTTTTGCTGGCACGGGTGCAGCCCACGGTGCAGCCACAGGTGGCGGTGTTGCTGCTAACCCCTCGGGGGCTGCAGCAATGCCGGCGCCGAAAAAAAATCCTGGCCAGGTGGACCTAAGCAGCGAGGATGACGACGAGGAGTCTGAGGAGGAGGAGGCGGCTAAGAAAGGAGCCGGACTCCCAGTCGCGGAAGGATGATATCGTGGTGGTGGACCACGACCAGGAGAAGAAGAAAGAAGAAAAGGGTGGCAAAAAGGAGGAGGCTGCTCAGAAGCGCAAGAAGAAGAAGGAGAGCAGCTCTTCCAGCGGAGGCAACAGTGAGTCCTCCAGCAAGAAAGAAAAGCCCCGTGCAGCCCCCGCTGCCAAGGAGGCCAAGCAGGCACACGAGGCCCAGGCCGACGAGAACGAGAGCGGCAAGGCCAAGGAGCCCAAGGAAGACAAGGAGGCGGAGGCGGCGGAGGGCGAGCCTGCAGCGCGGCCTGCGAGGAAGAACCGCAGCCGGCACTCAGCGGACGAGGCAGATGTCGTTCGCTGCGAGCACTGCTGGATGTGTGTGAAGAAAGAAGGCCTGCAGAAGAAGCAGCCATCAAAGGAGGACCGGGCGGCTAGCATGAGCCAGCACAGGCCGCCGGTTCAGCTGCGGAGCAGGGGGCGTGTGGAGGAGCCGCCGCACAGACGTGGCCCGCGGCGTGAAGAGAGCCGAGATGATGATGGCAGCCGTGGGCGCCGGAGAAGCCGTGGTGAGAGCCGCCAGAGCCGTGGCCAGGCAAGCTCTCGAGGCGGCGGCCAGGCAAGCTCTCGGGGGAGCCGCAAAGGCGGCGGCCAGGCAAGCTCTCGAGGGAGCCGCAAGAGCTCCCGCGGCAGCGAGCACATGGACCGACGCTTCTCGGGCCGCTCCCGCAGCCGAGCCTGCGGCAAGCTCCGGCCGCCGTGGGCGCGATTCGCGGAAGGAGCCGACAGGGCAGCTAGGCCGCAGCAAATCATCGCCAAGGGATCGGGCCATGGTGGCGGGTCAGAGCCAGAGCCCTCAGATCCCCCAGATGATGCTGGCCTTTTTCGATGCCACCACGAAGATGCTGGACATGCAGCAGCAGTAGTCCTAACATCGAAGATTTTTGGGCGAGAGGAAGAATCCTGGGCCTGGTGTCCTAAGATCCGTGCGATCCTGGACCCAGAGCCCTAAGATTCGGCTCTCGCAGAGGAGGCTAGGCCGCGGTAGCTAGGCCGTAGAGCCAGGCCGTAGGGTAGGAGCCCGACTGGCCTTCACCCGCCCTTAGCTCACGAAAGCCTTCAGGCCCCAAGCAAAGCTACAGCTACTACAGCTTTTAAGCTTTTAGCTGGAAACCGGAAACCTGAACCCTTAGGCACCAAGCAAAATACAGCTACTACAGCTTTTGAGCTTTTAGCCGGAAACCTGAACCCTTAGGCACCAAGCACAACTGAAGCTGAAAAGGCCAAGTCGGAAGTAGCTCCAGTGTTCCACTCACCAAGCACTGCCGAGCACAGTCGTGCCAAAAAAGATTCGTTTCAGTTTTGTTTTTGCCGGGCATGTTGAACTCATAAAGGGTTTTAAGGCCACAAGAGGACAGAACACAGAAAACACAGTGAATTCTCAAGGGGGCGGCCCTGAGGGTCTTCGGGGGGGCTTTGGGGGCACTGGGAGGGCTCTGGAGGGCGTTTGCAGGGGATTTAGCACCTGTTTGGGGGTCTCGTGTTCGGTGTCCGGGGTCGTGTCGGGGTCGTGTCCGGGATGTCCGGGGTCGTGTCCGGGATGTCCGGGGTCGTGTCCGGGATGTCCGGGGTTGTGTCCGGGATGTCCGGGGCGGGGCCCGGGAAAGGTGTCCGGGGCGGGGCCCGATGTCCCGCCCGCCCATGTCCCGCCATGTCCCGCCATGTCCCGCGCATGTCCCGCCATGTCCCGCCCGTGTCCCGCCATGTCCCGCCCGTGTCCCGCCATGTCCCGCCCGTGTCCCGCCATGTCCCGCCCATGTCCCGCCCATGTCCCGCCCGTGTCCCGCCATGTCCCGCCCATGTCCCGCCCGTGTCCCGCCCATGTCCCGCCAATGTCCCGCCATGTCCCGCCCATGTCCCGCCATGTCCCGCCCATGTCCCGCCATGTCCCGCCCACGTCCCGCCATGTCCCGCCCTTGTCCCGCCCGAGTTCCGCCCAGCCCCGGTCCCGCCCACGTCTCATGATGTCCTTTGCGTCCTCTAAACTCTTTGCACAGCAGCCGATATCTCTCGAGGCTTTGTTTGTGTTAGCAGCAAAGAAAAAAAGCGCCAGGGGTATGCCTGGCAAACGCAAACGAGGTGACTCTCCAGTGCATGAGACCGATGCGACCCAGCCGCAGGCGGGCAGCAGTGTGATCACTGATGCGACCCAGCCGCAGGCGGGCAGCAGTGTGATCACTAGTGTGATCACCCGCCGCAGCGATCCGAGCGATCCCGATCCCCGCGAGGGGAAAGGGTTGCGACTATCATTTGGAAGTGGTGCTGGAAACGAATGGAGACAGATGATGGGACCATTTGGTGGTGGCAATGGTGGAAGGAAGGGTCAACGAATGGAGACAGATGATGGGACCATTTGGTGGTGGCAATGGTGGAAGGAAGGGTCCAGAATCTGAGTGCGGTTTTTTTTCGGGTCAGCCCGACAACAAGAGTTTGCGGTGGAATGCTGTCGGTGGAATGCTGTCGACAATAAGAGTTTGCGGTGGAATGCTGTCGCCGAATTGCATGACTCAGAGATTGCATGATTGCCTGTCTCAAGGCCTTGCATGGAAATGGAAACAAGTGCATTGCAAGGGTAGACTGTGCCACCCAATTGCCTGACTGAGAGACTGCATTGCATGATTGCTTGTCTTTTTTCCGTGGGTGGAAATGTTTACATCAGTCCTGAGTTTGTCACTGAGAGTGAGCAAAGCCAGTTCCAAGAATAGCGTAGACAGCCGGAGCCATCATCCTGATTTCTTTTCTTTCTCAAGCCAAGCTTTTGTTTTTAGTGGGTTGCAGCATGATGGAGACTGGGGCAGCGAAGCTCCTGTATGCGATGAGTCCTTGGAGCTCAAAGCTGGGGCGTGCACCTGTGGTTGCTGAGCCCTGTGTAGGCATCTCTGCTTATCGAGAGTGGATGCAGAAAGCAGGGCTTGTTTACAGGCCATGCGCAGCCTACGATTTCAACATGGACTTGGTGCCGTTTTGGCGAGCTCTGCGAAACCAGGGTTTGCAGGGGACTTCGGAAGTCAAACTGGGTTTGCAAGAAGGGGACATCGAGAGGAATGTCGTGCTGTCAAAACTGTCAAGTGCGGAAGGCTTGATAAGCGGGCCCCCTTGTCAGCCTTTTGCCTCCACAGGTTTAAGGCAGGGCGCCCAGGACGAAAAAGGCCGCACAGATGTTTTTGAATCAGTTGTAAGCATGATATGTGAGGAAGGCTCGCGTGGCTGTCTTCTGTTTTTCATTCTGGAAAACAGCTCACATTTGGCTGATGCCAACCATGCTGAGTTTCTGAATGAGATGCTCTTGAGACTTGAAGTGTCACTGCCATATTTTTTGGTAGACACCGTGAAAAAGGATGCTGCGGAGTTTCTGCCAGTCAAGAGAGGTCGTTTTTTCATCAGAGGGCTAAGGAGAGACTGCCTGCCAGACCCCATGCAGGCGTTCCTCCCTGCCCCCCTGTGCTGCACGGATCTGCTCCCGGCAGTCACAGGGAAGAGATTTTGGATCTGAGCTTGGCTGCGACCGATGTGCAGAGTTTGTGTGCAGGGCACGCTGCTAACCTCACATTGTACAAGCAGACCATATCTCAGTGCATCGAAGAGCATCGTGCCCAAGGCAAGCCGCTGCCCTCGAACACGGTTGTTGTGGAGCTCGACCGAAACCCCTTGAGAACTTTCGGCGGGAAGTGGGGTTGGGGCAAGATCCCATCACTGAGGACTACGGGGCCACCTTTGTTTCTTCTGAGTTGCGAGGACTTGTCGAGGCCATGGCAGGTCATGCGACTGCACAGGTGGCTCAGCATCGCTGAGCGGTGCAGCGCTCTGGGGCAGCGTGCAAGCCACGCGGCCTTGTTCTCGAGAGACACCCATGCCCTGCATGCGATCGGGAACGCTCTCTCGCCAGTGCAGCTGGCCGCTGTTGCCTCGCCGCTCGTGGAGGCAGCGGTCAACTCTGGCGTGCTCACTGCAGGCAACCGTTGCAAAGCCTGCGCAGTGGAGCTTCTGCCGCACACGAAGCCACCGGGTACATCAGCAGCTTGTATCCTTGAAGAGACCCCGAGGCCAAGCGCCACAAAAGGTTCCAAACCAAAGGCTGCAGTTGAAGAGGCAACACAAAAGACTCGAAAACCGAGGGCCAAAAGCAGTGCAAAGCCGAAGGCTTCAACTGAAGAGGCAAGCCCAAAGACCCGAACCCCGAAGGCCAAAACAGCTACAAAGCCAAAGGTTTCAACTGAAGAGGTAACCCCAAAGACTCGCAACCCCAAGGCCAACAGGGTTCGAAAGCCAAGGGCTCCAACTGAAGAGGAAGCTCCAAAGACTCTGCCTCGTGACACCAGCGCAAAGCCAGAGGCTTCAGCTGAAGAGGAAGCCCCAAAGACTCTGCCTCGTGACACCAGCACAAAGCCAGAGGCTTCAGCTGAAGAGGAAGCCCCAAAGACTCTGCCTCGTGACCGTGACACCAGCACAAAGCCGGAGGCTTCAGCTGAAGAGGAAGCCCCAAAGACTCTGCCTCGTGACACCAGCACAAAGCCGGAGGCTTCAGCTGAAGAGGAAGCCCCAAAGACTCTGCCTCGTGACACCAGCACAGCTGGTTTAGATGGCACCCAGGACTTACCACGTCACCAGCCAGAAGGCAGCACCCAGGACTTACCACGTCACCAGCCAGAAGGCAGCACCCAGGACTTACCACGTCACCAGTCCGATGACTTGGAGCTAGAGCTTGAGCGACTGGTTGACGAGCTTTTTTCGGATGATGATCCGGGCATGGACGTTGATGATGCTGCGCCACAGAGTCCACTCGTCCTGAGTGAGAAAGCAACACACCTCTTCGAGTGTTTGGCTAAAGCCAAAGCTTCATCCAAAAACTGGCTCTCGCCAGCAAGCAAGAGCTCCAAGAACGAATCTGAGCCAGCACAAAGCTCCGGAAGCAAGGTTGGCGACAGACGGAGGCGTTCTACTAGCTCAGGGCGAGACATGCCAGAGAATGCTCAGCGCAAGCTGCGTTTCCCACCTCACTTGAACCTGCCAAAAGAAGCGATCCACCTCTCGGATTCCGACTAGCGCTTCTAAGCGGTGTCGGTTGCCATGGTGGCGGTCTGCCTGTTCGTAGATAGGACCTGCTAGGATGGTAGGTGGATGAGCAGATGTGTGTGTGTGTGTGTCACACAGCAAGCTTGAGAATAGTGCAAAACAGTCTTCCGATAACCCTTCTGTGTTCGCTGAGTAAGCTTGCCGGGTAGTTCCCTGATGACAGCCATTGAACTCAGGGTTCTTGTTTTTGTGTCTTGCAGCGATTTGTTTGGCTCCACAAGCCCCTCAGCTCCCACACTCGTGCTCCCCTGCCCCGCAGCAAGCATGACAGATGCCCCGGACCAGGAGATGCCTCAGAGCATCATGTGCATCAGGTGTGAGGAAGAGACAAGCATCTTGACGAGCTACCCAACTGGAAGGAACTGCTTGAGGCGGATCTGCTCCTGCTGTTCGTCCACAGACCGGTGCCTCTCTCGGATGGCTAAAGCACCGAAGAAGGGCTCTGCCGAAGAAGCCAAAGAAAGCGAGGAGGCCAAGAAAGCTCGAAAAAGCGCTGAGGCCCTGAGGGGAAGCGTGGCCAAGATGGGTTCCTCGGAGCGTGCCCAGTGGTACCGCCAAGAGAAACGGAAGCGGGCAACCGAGTCAAAGAAAAGCCGCAGGACCTTCGCAACGGCAGTGGGGGCCTTGGAAGAGACTCGCCAGACTGGGAACGAAGATTGCAGCGGCTCACGATACATGACCCCCCGCGACTGGTGCGCACGGGAAATGATCCTGAAGCAGTACAGTACCTTGGAGGATGCTATGGCAGCCTACGAGCAGCGCTGCACAGATCCGGACGTTGTGACCAAGGAGATCAACGGGGAACTCTGCCTCCGGGTCAACAACGGAGGTCTGGAAAATGTCGTGGACCGCCATACCGTTGCAGCATCCGTGCGGCAGCGGACTGACCTTGGCGATGGCGAGCAGCTTGATGGTTTCGAAGAGGAAATCGGACCTCGCATGAAACGTGCTTCTGACAAGCTCCAAACAGAGCGGCTTCTGTCAGAGCAGCAGGGCAAGCAGGCCTACGTTCCGGCCGTCGCGGTGCGACGAGATTTGGAGCAAGAGAAGGAAGTTGCTGAGAACAGAGCTGCTGAATTTCAGCAGCAAGCCTTGGCACTCAAGGAGAAAGCTGATCAAAAGAGGAAAGAGTTGAAGGAGAAGCAAGCAACCCAGCTTCCCTCCTTGGCAGTGGCAAAGCTCAGCCTCACCAACGCTATCCACAAGGCAAATGCTTCGATGTCCGAGCTGTTGAAGCGTCAGAAGGCCACAGCAGACACCTTGTGCAAGGACTTGACGAATGCTTTGTGCATGTCAGACGTCCCCGTGAAGAGAGAAGCCGAGGAAAAGACGAAAGTGCTGAATGGCAAGATCAAGGACCTGGAGACTGCCATGGAGGAGTCCATCGCAGAATGGAACACCAAGGCTGGTGACGAAAGCCTTGACATCGAAGCCATGGTGTCAATGGAGAAGGATCTGGCAGCCTACATGAAGGAGTGGCACCTTGGCAAGCACTGCCAGGCAGTGTTGGACACGAAGCAGCAGATTAAAAACTTCCGCGAATTCACCTCAGACTGCAAGAAGGAGGTGAAGAAGCGGGACAAGCTGGCCGCGAAGGCGACAGTGAGGGGTTCGAACAAGAAGGCCAAGCTTGATCATCCGAACAGCCAGGCAGCTGCCGAGACCCCCGCCTTGGTGGTCAATCTGTTGAAGCACCTCAAGGAGAACCCGCTTCCCGATGAAATCATCAACTGCGCAACGGAGCCAGAGGATGAGATGACAGTGCCCCTTCTGCTCCCACCAACGCCGATGGAAGGCTTTACCCGGGATGTGACCCGGCACGAGTATTACAGCGAGCAAAAGAAGTGGGTGGAGCAGATGCTGCTGAGGAGCAGCCAGAAGTATTCGTGTGCGGTGGTCACCAGAGACAATGTGGCCAGGCCCTTCTTGCAGCAGCTGGACCAGATCCTGCCGGTGCCACTGCGTTCCGTGGCACGACCCTCGAGCAAGGAGCTGCAAGAGATCTGGCAGTTGTACTTTTACCAGATGGCCGGGGACTCCGGCCGCCTCTCGATGTCCACTGACTGGGGCTTGCCCGAATTGCGCATCTGCTGCGAAGGCAAGGAGATCTACTTGGGGTTCCCCGTGAAGAAGCTAGCCGGCAACACGACGGCCGAGATGCTGCAGCACCTGGAGCGGATGCGTGCAGAAGAGTTCCTCACGGCAGTTGAGCGGGATGGCTGGTGTGACATGCCGCCCTGGGAGGGGAGTCGTGCTGCCCACGAATTGTTTGTTCGTTCATCTGAGCCTGCAGGGACCTGAGACCTGCCACGGAGCCAGGATTCACATCGTGTCTGACAAAAGCCTCCAGACGGCTCTCACTCACCTGGAGAGGCAGGTCCAACAGGACCCGACACTGGAGTCCAAAAGAACCGGCCAGCTGCTGAAGTGGATCCGCGAGAGGTGAACTGTGCGGCATCCTTAGCGTCCAGGCTGCAGCTTCTGCTGCTAACCTGTGACCTTATGGATCATTCACCTTGGCTTCGTGGCTGCCACTGTTGGCTACCCACTTGCCTGCTCCCCGCAACCCCATCTCATCGGGGTGCGGTTTTTAACAGTTGTTTTCGGCAGGGGTGCTGCTTCGCAGCTATCCCTTCGGCAGGGGTGCTATCCTGTGGGCTGCTGCTTTTGCAGCTAACCCATCGGCAAGGGTGCTGCTTCGCAGCTATCCCTTTGGCAGGGGTGCTGCTTGGCAGCTACACTGTGGGCTGCTGCTTTTGCAGCTAACCCATTCTTGCCTTTTTCCGAATCCTGGGAAGATACAACTGACACCAAGACGTGCGGGAGAATAGTGGGATCAGCGTCTGAGAGCAGAGCCTTAGGACTAGGACAAGTACAGACCTCAGCAGTATCTGAAGCTGTAGGCTCTGGAGAAGCGGTTTGGGTACACACTCGTGCTTACTGTTGAGGTCGGGTTTCTCAGGGTGTTACTGTGCACAGTGTCACCGGGTTCCCTGTCAGCCAAGCTTCACTTTTGAAGCTTGCAAAGGGATGTATCGATTCACCTGTGAACAATCTGCTCTCAGACAACCCACAAACAAAAAAGTTGTGGGCCAAAGCCGTAGGGCCGTAGGGAGTCCTGGGTGTCCGGGGTTATGTCAGGAGTTTCGGGGGGGGGGACGGGGTTGTGTTCGGGATGTTCCGGAGGGGGTGTCCGGGATGTCCGGAGTGGTGTCCGGGGTGGTGTCCGGGATGTCCGGGGCATGTCCGGGGCATGTCCGGGGCATGTCCGGGGCATGTCCGGGGTTGTGTGTCCTGAGGTCTGTGTCCCGAGGTCCCACCCAAGGTTTATGCATTAATATCATCTAGGATGGGACAGGGGAGAGCATTTGCTGTACTGCTGCATTTCATGAACCGCAGAAGTTAAGCTCTGTCAGTTTCGGTGTTGAGCGGTGTGCCTTTCAGGATGTCCAGCCAACGTTTGTTCGATAGCCAAGTGATGCTGGACAACGACTCTGTGCTGTTCGACAGCCAGGTTGATCCAGGGACTTGGGCAGCGGGGCGCACGTTGGCTTCACCGGTTGTGCCTGCTGCTAGTTCTACTGCAGTGCACCAGACTGGCCTGAAGCGCAAGAATGCATGCCTGGAATGGGAAGGCGATTTTCCAGACACCCAGGTAGAGCTGTATCCGCCGCCTACTATCGTGAATATCAACGAGGACCCAAGCCCAAAACCGAAACCCCGCAATGAGGTGGCTGAGAAGTCCTCAGAAAAGTCCTTGCAAGAACAGCTAGAAGCCTCCCAGTCGAAGGTGAGTGAGCTGCAGGAACTGAACAGAACTCTGCACTGCAAAGCCGCGGAGTTAGCACAGCAGCTGGTGCAAGTGATGGAGGAAAAAAACAATCTTCTGGCTGAGAAGCATGCGAAGATGATCGCTGACTTGAGGGTGGTGCGTTCTGCCCGCGAAGAGCTTGACGAGCTTTTGGATCTTAATTTTGATGACGACGACGATCAATGCTGAGAAGCAGTTCCTGAGGCTTGGCCTTGAAGTTTCTGTTGCCGTCCTGGCTGCTGGGGAGCTTTTTCAGCCAATGCAGTTTTTGGCCACGGGCCGCAGACTTTTCATTCAGGGCAGCAGGCTCAGGGTGCTACCGCGAAGGCTTCGCGATGCGCCCAGTGCCAGCCGCCTTGAAGAAAGAGGCTCATGGGTAGTATGTATACGGCTAGAAAGGCAGGGGAATGCAGGGGACTACAGAAACCAGGTGCTCCGAGCGTGAGTGTCGGAACAGTGGAAAAAGAGGACCTGAGCTTGTGTAGTTTCTGAACGGTAATAGGGATGTGTTATGGGCCTTGTTAGGGAGGGTTTTGGACTGGCGAGGGCTTGTGCGTGCTACCAGAAAAGGACCGATTTTGTTTCAAGGGGACGTGTTTTTTTTGGTTGGGAAAACGCAGCTTTTGAGTGAACGGTTTAAACCCTATTAGAACGAATGCAATTTTTCTAAAACGGTTCATAACCTTTTTTTATTTCGACCCCGTTTGCAGCAAGGGTTAGCGCCCCCCGGGCCTAGATGAATCACTTATACCGACGCCAGCGTCGAAGGGCCAAAATGGTGTCGTGGATGTTGTCTCCACCAGCAATCCCTTCCAGGTGCTTCAAGATAGCCGCCCGCTCACTTGCTCCTCCTGGTTGGTAGAGCACGAACATTCTGTACAGCAGTCCCGGCACCGTAGACACCCGGTGGGTTATAACATCATCCTTCATGGCCTTTGTCATTGAGCTCAGCAACAACGTCATTGTCCTGCGCTCCAGTCGTGACCACTTCTCATCCTTGAGCTCCGGCGGGATATTCACCTCCAAGGTCAAGCGGGCAATGGGGGAAGCATTCACATACTCCTTGTAAGTCCGTCTTGCAACTGAAAGACATGCCGCGAACCAAACAGCCGACTTGTCTGAAATTCCTCCAATCGCCTGCTCCGCCTCATACAACCAA